ATCTCTCTCTCTCTCTCTCTCTCTCTCTCTCTCTCTCTCCCCCCCTCCCTCTCTGTCTCTCACCAATTATCAATGTATTCGCCTCTGCTAATCCAAGAAGATAACGACGCGTTAACGTCAGACGTACTGAATTCACGTACCACTAAACTTACGCCGGTGCCCGTTAGAGACTCCGGTGCACTAGCCGATCGATACGTACATACGTCGGAACGGAATGTTTACTTTCACTTTCGAGCCTCGAGCTCCGTTACGGGGGGAGAGGTAACTTTAAAACTTTAAGCCGCGACGCAAAACATGAGAAAATTCGCCGAGGATAGGACAGTTGGGGAGGAGATTGTAAACAACAATAATAATAGCCTACGTGAAAATATATTTAATTTGAATTTTCTGTCAATGAGAATACGTAATGGCGGAATCGCAGTATGCAAAATAAAAGCAACACGTCGCGGGGCTTATACGATCATACTTTCTTTTCTCCTTTCGAGACAAGACCTCCGCCGATAACCCTCGCAATTCATGACTGGCAATTTCCAGAGTGCAATCGGATCGTTTTGCACGACGCAACTGACACGTCGCCGGTTCCCGGTAGGAGCGTTCGCGGACGCCTCAAGAATCCTTATAGGAATGACAAAGGAACCGATTGTTCGATTATTATTTTCCATTTCTTGTTTTCGTACTTTGCTCCATTTTTCTACCCCGTCGCCCTCGTGCGCTTCTGTCACTGCCAGACACGGTCTATGCCTTACCGAGCGCTCGCGCGGTAACCGATTTCTCATGCTCGCACGAACGGGAGCGACCATGAGGAAGTAGATGAGAGCAGGCAAGAGCTTGGCGCACGATGCGCGCCAGATGGAGTCTTTACTCGATCGAGCGACGTAATCTTTTTCGCAGGGGATCGCCCTTTTTATTATTATTATTATTATTATTAACTTTTTTTTTCTTCGCCTCGCCAATCGTAACGGAACGCAAGCTCAGGCTGATTTGTACAGCTCGGTCGATAGTCGTATTACGGTATTGAATTGTCATCGGGGAGCCTCTGTTTTGTTTCTTCATTGAACTGTAGGCGAGTGACATTGTCTTCTACGAGTGAACGCGGTGGGGGTATTACTGGGTCTTTGTAAACGTTCGCGTCGTGTAATCGTACCCGTTTGACGCTACCGTCACAGTCAGTTATCTTGACAGGCAATAACTTTTGCCCTCGGCTATCCCGGCTTGTCAAATTAGTCAGATGTCTGTGGAAGGCGACCTGTACGATGACTTAGTGAGTAATGGATAAATCGGAAGACTGTTTTTTTGGGGGGGGCAGGGGGGGTTAACGATACCGATAGCTTTTCGTCCGATATAAAAGTGTTAACACTCGGGTGCGTATTATATTACTCGGACTGGGTACGTTTGCGTCGGCAGTCCGATGGTTTTCGCGTTGGGCCACGTGGGCTAATGGCAAAGGTCTCAATGTATCGCTTCGCGGATTGATATTATTTCTTGTTTTTGCCCACCAAGTGTATTCCAGCCTCCTTTCGCCCTGCGTCCCAACTTCTGACAGCTTCCCTGCTACTCTGGTCCATTTTAATTCCAACAGCTGATTTTTATGCCACTATCGTCTAACGGGCCGATGATTCCCATTTCGAATGGCTTCCTGGACGCTTTTACGAGCGTCTAGAAAGCACTCTAATCTTCACGGGTTTATATATCAAGAGTGAAAGATTGGAGATTCGACTGTTACGTAGGTTCAACCGTATCCGGATGTGCCGGTATTGCTTTGGGCATCACTGCTAAGGTGGACCTGTACCAGGAGGACTGGGTCTGGTGATCCAAGTGGAAATTTATGGAATTGTTTTTCATGTGCAGATGCTGTCGGTGAGCGCAGGAATGGAGGTTGGCAGCGGAGGTCATGGCGGTCTTGGGGGTGGACTGGAAGGTGGTCCGGCAGGTGGAGGTGGAGGGGGCGGAGGTGGTGGTGGTGTCAGCGGCGTCGGGGTTGGACCTCCTGGGGATAGTATGCAAGAAGCCATGGCTGCTGCTGCGAGAGACAGGGCCATCCGGGCGGGAAGCGTTAGGCAGGATCTCGCCCTTGACCTTCCACCTCGGCTTCAGCTACCTGATGGTGAGGAACGTCCCTATGGGGCGCACACGGCCCTTCATCTACGCGATCCTGAGCAGGTCAGTTTGGGTCTTGGATCCTGATGGCATGGACGGGGATCGTCCGTTTACTTTTTTATTTTTGGATTCTCAAACCGGATGTACTTATCGATTGTCAAAACTTTTAGGAAAGCGAGATATACCAGAAGTGCGTCCGGCCGCCGCCAAACAGGACCGTCTTCGACAGCGAGAGTCCACCACCTTACAGAAGTCAGTCAGCGCTGCTAGACGCACCAGATAGGATAGTACGGTGTCACAGTGCAGGCAGTTCGCTGCTGAGGGTGTTCCGGAAGTTTCCGAATTCCGGAAACTCGACGCCGGCGGTGATAGTGCCACGAAGACCGACCTTATCAAGCTATTCCGAGTCCAGTAGCAACCTGAGCAACCTCTCGAGTCTTACGGTCGTGCCCTGCGAGACCGACGAGAACAACCAGCAGGTCTGATCCTCGGCGAGGTCGTTCGCCAGGGACAAATTTAAAGACTTCAAGGCCGACGAGACGGGCGGTGTTCTCGCCAGGATCGCGTTTAGGAGGTCCAAGTATTCCGTGTCCGCGTAGACGAGTTAGACGGGACAGATCGAGAGATTCAGATACGAAAGTAAACTAATGAGAGAGTTTGCGTGTGAATGACGAGTGCGCCGAGTGTGTCTCTGCTGCTAGTGCGTGTGCCTGCTAAAGTCAATGAGTGCCGGAGAATGGAAAGAAGAAAAAAGACAAGGGAAAAGGGATCGAAAGAAACGACAAGAAGAAATTGAGAAAACGATTGGCTTCCATCTTAATCCTGTGCGTCGCGGTTATCCTCCTTACTCCTTTCTGGGATCTCGACCAGGCTCAAAATGCTCGAGGGTTTCGAATATTTTGATTTTTTGACAAATCGCGCTTCCAGGGGTCCATTCGCAAGGCGTCACGAAACGTAAAAATTGACGAGGTCGTCCCGGATCAGTGGAGGACCGATTATCAAAAGAACCTCCTGGGTGAAAGCATCCGTACACGAAGACTGACTCTTTCTAAAGACCTCGATAGCTGTTTAATGTCGATAGTCGAGGAGATGTAAAAATTAGCGGGGCCGATTATTAACGTCGCGGGGTGGCCGAACGTCACAGGATGCGGATCGAGGAAGGTGCGTTTCGACTAGTTTCCAATTTTAAGCGTCGCGACGCCGCTCTGCGTTCGCTTTTCTCGATGCGTCGAGCAATCCTAAGGGCCAGTTTTTAATTCAGATCTCAGATAAGTCCAAAGTCATAAGCGAAGGAGGAAGACGGGAAAAACGAGTTTTCCTGCGGAAGTAGTGTTCGACGCGCGAAACCACGATAGGGGGAATTTTCAAATTCGTAAACAGGAAATGCATAATTTTTGTGACTCTGCAGTTACTGCCTCGCGTAAGACGTCCGTCGTCGGACAGAGAGTGAAATTGAGACTCTGCTGATAATGAAAAGACGGAGAACCCGTGGAAACGCACTTTCTTCCTTGAAGCAATGAGCTCTGGGCCGGAAGTGCGCGTGCACCAGTTTGTTCTTCCTTTCTCTTAATTATTATTATTGTTATTATTATCGAATAAGCATTTTCAAAAACGGACGATTCTCCTTACGTGGAACTTCCTTCTTCCTCCGCTTCCTGTTTCTTCCTCATCTTTTCTTTTCCCGCTCTTCCAATTTCTCGCGATATTCCGCTCATTCTCTCCCCACACCTTTCTTCCCGCTCCTCTATTTCCGTTTTTTTTCCATTTTTTCTTTTCTTTTTGCGAAAAAGACTTAGTAAATTATTTATTGGCAATATTGCGACTTGCAAAATTGCGAGTTTATTATTAAAGGTGAATTCGAGGTTACGTGCGAAAACGAGGACGAAGGCAAGGATGTATGATAATGTCCGAAGTGCGTGTGCGTGCGTGCGTGCGTGGGTTGCGTGCGTGCGTGTGTGGCAGTGAGGAAAATTGCGGAAGAATATCGAAGAGAGTTCGGCAAAAAAGAGGAAGGACGAATGTAAAGGCAGAGAGGAAAATGTAGTGCCAAGAGCGAAAAAAAAAAACTTTGTAAATATTAGGCTAGGTAGTTCAATATCAATATAATTATTATGACTAAAAATGATATGCTACATACCGATTAAAAGTAAACATCCAAACATACGTTACAACACGCATACGATTACACACGAGTTGCGGGCCGCTCGGAATCGGCCGAGAGATGGTGCTGGTGAATCGGCCAAAAGTTGAGGGAAAAAAAAAAAAAACCAACAGCCAGAAATGGAAAGAAGGGTTGGTAAATTTTGAGATAAAAAAATTAATCTAATAAATTTGCCAAAGTCTCGTACCACGGTAGACGCAAAAGAGACGTATCTTACGGGAATAATTGATAACACTCACGTTTTAGTGACTGTTTGAAAAAGAAAAAAAAAAAAAAATGACGAGAAACAAACGAGTTATAAGAGTTAAGTGATAAGATGACACGAGGAATGTCGACGAGATTTTGTTTTTTGTCAAAATAATCGTGCACCGTACTCCTCGTCCAATATCCGAGCGTCTTTGCCAAATGTCTTCTATAATGCTACTTTTATTATTATTTAAATAGATAAGGCCTCAGTTTGACAAAATAGGACGAGATCCGCTCCGGAGGAGAGGATCCTCGCGAAGGTCAGAGATTATCCTCACGACGGGCGCAAATCTCAGTCGCGAAGACGCTTTTGCGAAATCGGCGTCGACGTCGCTCGCCGAAACACCGAAATTGCATAATCACATTCCTAGTAGTGTACTAAGGGTTAGGCGTGACGTCACTGGAATGGCAATTAAGATTTCGCACGAAGCATTCTTCCATATATTAAAAGAAAAAGAAAAAAATACTCCAATATCATACGAGAATAAGATAAAGATGCACTGCCTGTTCTCAATTTTCTAAAAAAAAAAACATATGAGATAACGCGATTCGATGTTTGCGACCTAACGCGAAATTTCTCTCTGATCTTCTCGACTACCGGTCACGTTTCCTCGGGGCGGAGCGAACATTAAAAGTATCTCACGAGAAGTCACCAATCATTGTAATCCTTGAATGGAATACGATTAATACCGCGATCGATGAACGAGACCAAACGAAGGAAGCAGCAAAAACATATGAAAAATGTACGACGAACGATAAGAAAACATAACGATAAGAGACCAAGCGAATTAAACGTAATCGCGATCCTTCGGGCTGTCATTCGTTTCGTTTCGCTCGTTCGATTCCGAGGTATCCTTACCAACGAATGTACAGGGGTGATTCGGGACAAAGGCACCAGCTGAAGTTGGCCGCGAACGGATGATTTCATGAATCAGAGCAGACTGGCATCCTTAAAGAAATGAAAGTTAAAATTGATAAGATCATGCATTTCACATTCTATTAATTTTTTCTTAACGAGGGCCACGCTGCCTCGATTAACAGAATATTGTTCGATCGCGTCCAACTTCAGCTGGTGCTTTTCCCGTGGATGACCCTGCAGTACGGAAGTATCCGATATTAGTTGGAATTACGAGGAACGACAGTGGTAGAACGAAATGGATGAAAGCTCGAAAAGGCAGGGACGAGAGCGATACATGTAATGGGTAGAGTCAAGGTGGGATTGAAAAATGGCTTGTAAATGAAAGCAAAGAATATGGGAATTAAAATGCACATAATGTCAAGGCAGTTCTACAAACACGACATACGACCGTTTCTTAAAATCCGCTGTTTAAAGCTGTGTAATGGAAAGGAGGATTTATCCATCTTCGAAATGTGTTCACACGCATGCAATATTAGGTGAAGAAGAGATAATTATTGTATTTAACGACGAGCGACGTGATTTTAACGATTAGATGAAGAAGAAAAAGAGAGGATTAAAGGAGTACGAGAGAATTAAAAAGAAAAAAAAAATAGGAGCGTCAAGTGCGTGCGTGAGCGATTGACCGTATGTGTGAGTGTGAGTGAAAGCGAATGAGAGATTAAGACAGAGTGTGAGGGGGAGAGAGAGAGGGGGGGAGAGAGAGAGAGAGAGAGAGTGGATATAAGAAAATGATTAAAGAAAAAAAAAATACTGAATGCGTATAATGCCCAATGGGTCCTGTGCAAGCTTCGGTTGAATTTAAATGTTATCGAATTAGATTGAATTTAAAATACGGATAAGTTCACGTAGGAAAATTGGTAGTGGATTTGATTATTATTGATTATTATTGAATATCGTGATGTTTAATGATTTGTTAAATCGGATTTGAGGTTTGGAACGTGCGCGAGTGTCTTGTCTTTGTATCATTTCCAAAATTTTCTCAACATTTTCAATGTCGATCCGAAAACGAGACATTCGCGCGACTAGAGTCTAACTGGTTGGACTATTTAGCTATTTGAGATAGATGTCTCGGACGTCGTTCGTTCACGTCTAAGATCCAATTGTTTAGCTCTATATTGACTCTATGGAAGGGATTATCTCGTGGACGAGAACTCAAGAGTGACCCCTCCCAGGAATGTGATTTCAAAGACGTGTTCCAGAAGAAAAAAAAAATTTCAAAAAATCATATAGATGTCGAACGTGTTTTTATCGCTAGAGCAGCGCCACCGTTATTGTACGCGGCTGTTACGGGTACTAGACCTTTATATGGCACTATGCCATACAGAAGGCACCATTACCCCATGGCGTACGCGGCTCCACCAACGCTTCTGTAATTCAATCTCCTCTTATTGTCGAGGAACGTGAGCGTCGATATTTCTTGTTTCTTGCGCGCACGAAAAGATGAGAATCCTCGCTGTCGCGGCGGCAAGGATAAGTATATCGTCTGGATTAACCTCAACTGTTTTACCGGAGGCGTGTTCGTAAATCTCGATGAGATCTGTTTTACCGACCGGCTCGCGATATTCTCGTCTTTTACGTGCTTGACGTTCGTTTTATAAGCGACTAGCCAAATGGTGGATGATTCGAGGGTGAAAATGATAAATTTCGATAAAAAATGATATAAGAATTTGTGAATCTATGCACAGACCCGCAGACTGATGGATGAATGAGTGGGTTCGCGATTTAATTGGAAGCTGTGCGCGGAAGGACGATTGAGTGTATGGAATTGTGTGAAAGGATGCGAATTATGTGAATAGGGTACGGGATGGTGTGGAGGGGGGTGGCGAGAGACAAAGGGTGGAGAAATAATTGAGAATCAAAATTTTTAGATTATTCCTCGCGACACTTGTGGCTTATTGAAATTGAGAACGCTGTCGTGTCGTTCGATTCGAATCGTACCGAATCGAGTCTCATTGTCGGTCCTCGTTTTAGCGAACGATATCGATTTGGGACTTGAGGGATCAGCGGGCGTGAGGGAACGCATAAAGATGGCAAACAAAAGTGATGGTGGGAAGCGGAAATGAATTTTTTTTAAATAATCGATCGATGTGTAGAGACAGTGTCGTTTAAGTAGGTCGCTTCAACTAAGTCTCAGCTGGACGATAAGTCAGACAAAAAATCGCATGACGACAAACGAAACAAAAAAAAAAAAAGAATCAGTATGTCAATCGTATGTGAAAAGAAAAAACACGTCCCAATTGAGTGATTCGAAAGAAAACACTGAGTTTGTCAAACGAGTCTGTCGAGGCGTGCCAATCGTTCTCCTTGTTCACGATTTCTTTTTTCTTTTTTTTTTGCCTTTTTATTCGCTGGTGCGACAAAGAGGCAGCACTGATCGTCCAAACTGATTAACGCGTGGATAACGATTGGCTCGTGTTCGGAACTCGGACCATTTGGAAAGGATTATTTCAACCATTTTTTATACAGTAGACTTATACCATTACCACATAGAGAGAGAAAAAAATGTTCGTTGTTCACTGCTCTGGCTTGCTAGGAAGAATAAAAAAACAAAAGATACGAAAATGAAAAATCGTCATACTAATCGGACCTGTCGAAGGCATGTTTGGACGAATGGCTGCGGATTTTGAGATAAGGACGGAATTGTGAAAAAAATGGTTTTTTCCTTTCTTTCGAAAAAAAAAAAAATGTCTTTTCCGTGAAAACGCACTATCTGCAGCCAGACTGTCCCCCCTTCCCTTTGCGTCCTGATTAAATCGGCAAGGACTTTGACATTGCAAGATTATTGGTGTACTTATCACGCAGTTTTCTACAAAATAAAGAAAACGATAATGAAAAAAAGAAAGAGAATTAAAAGTATCACACATGCATATCCACGTATACATAAATAATTATTGCGCTACGAAGGATCATTGACAATTCCGTACTTGAGAGAAGAAAATCGAAGGGATCTTATTTCATTTTTTGGAAAAAAAAAAGAACCGATTCCTTGAATTTCATCTTTTTTGCACCATCAGCCATGTGTTCTTTCGTATTGCGTTTATCCTAGCTCCTTCATATCCACTTTAATTTATAACTTAAGTAATTACGTTTTTTTTCTTCAGGGTCAAAAATATTTTTCAAAAGTTCCAATCCGAAGTCAAAAGTGACGTCAAGCAGTTAGAGAATTGTCTCATGAAGGATTGAAAAATTTCATTATTTTTTCATTAGTAATACACGTGATTCCAGTTGAAAAATTTAACGTTTAATCAGTCAACAAGAACGCTAATGCATTCTCCCCACTTTATATTCTCAGTGCGTCCTTATCGATCTTCTCTTGTATTGCCTTTCTTTTTTTTCATAAGGTATTACCCAACTCACTGTACGCGACCATTGAAAACAAGAGTAATAATTCTGAAAATGAGATAAATATTTTGAATCATAATATTAATCCAAGGAATAAAATTTACGAAAAGACAATAATCAAAATAACATCCAAGATTATCGGTAAACTTATAAGAAACTATACGCCTTCTCACCGTCTGCCTACCATTCAAGTGATCCGATGCTCCGACGATTATGCAGATTCCGCCACACTTGCATGATACTGCGGTAGGAAATACTTTCAAAAGAAAACAGGAGAGTGCAGCACGGGACGTATCATTTTCCAAAGCGCCTGTCAAGTCGCAATGACAATTATGACGGCATCGCCCACTGGTAAGTAGAAGTCCAAGCACTGTTAAAAATCAAATAAAACAATATATTTACAATCCAAGAGTTTGACTACATGAGATATAAATTTAATTAAAGAATTAAGAAGCCCAAACAATCCGTGCGTCACTGAAACTACAGTTTTAGAGCATAGTGCATGTACAGGATAGCCCAGATACAGAGGGCGCCAAAGCCCTAGCACGGACAAGAACCCCGTAGAATTAGTTTCTAAATTTCTAATTAAGAAATGACTTAGTTTGACGAACCAGTGATCTTAACTGTCATAGCTTTCTGGTTTTTACATAACATGGACAAACGATCGATTAAAACTTTAATTTACGTAAATTTGATATTCGTTAAAATCGCTAACGGACAAACTACATCCTATGATGTTATTCGTCAGCACATATAACTACTATCTATCTTCCTAGCATCTTATCGGATTAAGTCTCAAAGTCTGACGTCCAAGCCGCACCTGACTCGAATAAACCAATCCGTGAATTATTCTGAAAATTTTCTGCTTGCGTAAAAGCATTCTATTTATTCCCCTCGCGTTATTATTAACCATAGACATATCCCGAGTGGCGTGCACTGACGTTTTCTCCGTTTGACACACTACGATACCAACTCAGGCGAGCCATCGATACGATCGGCCAAGAATTGCAACCGAATAAGAACAAAATTTTTAAAGAAAAGACATAAATCACGGTATGAAAAAATGACCGTAAAAATTTTTTACCGCGACACAATAACGTATGTCACCAAGGACCCTTACAGGACAGCAGGCGTTTGGGGTATCTCTATGAGAATTGTTGAGTTTTCAAACAGGGAGCAGGGACGCAGAGAAGCAAGGAAGCCAAGAGCGTAATGGCGGGTGGCGTCGGTCGTGCGTCGTTTAAATTTGGAGCGCCGTGCCAAGAATAGACTTTAGCCTCCATGCCTTACCTTACCGACGTGATTTCACGTCGTTCTTACTCAGCCACCCTTAGGCTTTATTAAAAAAAAAAAAAAAAGAGAGAATAAAAAAATAACAAATCTCGACATAAGCTTCCGATCTACATTACCAATCCTTGTTAGTTGATCTTCAAACTCTTCTTCGTACCTCACAGTCTTCATACCTTAAAACTATATATCTACCATCCGCATGATATTTCTGATGACAGAAACAAAAATCCCAAACGATCCAAATTAATATCCGGTGATTCATCCTCAGGCGGAAGTGGGCTTTCCTGTATCAAGAGCTTTCGAAAACTGAATCTTGATTTGGTTGACGTTGACACAGCCGGAGTTCCACCCTACCGCGAAGAGCTGCGTCACTCAACTGTCGACGAGGACCGACGCGCTAATAGTCTTCAAGGAACGGAACGAACTTTACTCTTGGTCATGGAGCCAGGATCATTTAGAAGAAGACGTTAAGACGTCTTGAATTTTGAAGTTTTTTCTTTTTTTAACGGCAGACAAAGAAATTTCATTTCCTCCAAAAACTTGCTGCGAATCGTACGAAGAATTTTGATGGAACAAAATTTAAGGTTTTTCACTTCCCTGAAATTTTTGTTTTCTTCCAGCTTTAAACATACATTAATACATTGGTATAATCGCCCAGATGGCGCTGTTTTATTTAGATGACACTAAAATATTACGGTATCTGTTTCTCGATGTCATTCCTGGGCTATTTTTGATGCGTGGGATGCTGCAACGGTCTTTGATCTTCGTTCCACGCTATTGGCTGCCCCGATGGAATACCTGAAATCTTCCTCTTACTCTTCTTATCTGCCCTTCGTCTTGTTCTCCTCTTAACCATCCCTCGTGGTCCCACGAAATTTACTATCACCAAAATATTTTTCTTTACCCAAAGATCTCCTCGGTTGTGTGATAATCGGCTGTTATCTAAAGGATCAAGCACAATTTAAATTGTATCCCATAAAAAAATCTCGTTCATCCCTTTATCTTGAGCAATTCAAGAGAATAACCTTTCAAAGTTTACGTAAGAAACTCAGCAATGAATTCCAGCACGAGGCTCTGCATCGTTCATGGTAATTGCCCAAAAATAGTACCAGTCGATGGAAAGCTGCTGGTGCCTTTCAATGGCAGCACTTCCGGTACCGCTGTACGATTACCAATTGTAAGGGAGGTTATTTCCTCTGTTTTCAATATAAACAAAAAACTTTAGTAAAACGGCACGCGAATGGTGTTCTTTTCCCAGCACTTTTCGTGACGATTTTCCTGACGTGGTACAACGGCTAAGATGGACATGAGACGGACTTCCGGTGATGCCAGTCTAGATAAAGTAAAAAAAAAAATTTTAGAATATATCGAAACGAAAATCTTTATCCGGATTTGGGGGATAATATTTATCCTGGTGGGTTACGAGTGGGTCTGGAGGAAAGCCAAAAGTTTGTATCGAGGATAGACGTTAATTTTCTTTTTTCAAAAAACATATAAATCCTCTGGTTATATATGATTATGCTAGAGAGCCTTCACAAAATTACACTCTTTCCGGTTTAAACATCGGGTCACGTATAACCTGAAAAATGTTTCAACGGAATACGATAAACTCCACGTGATAGATGATTATTTTCAGAATTTTCTTCCTTTTTTTTTTTTTTTTGTTTAATCTATCAAATCTAGAGCTCAGTTACGCTTACTTCTTCGTGCTATTTTCACGTATCGTTTGCATGAGAAGTGGGTTGCTAGAAAAACAATTAACGAGAACGAGGATTACACTGGATGAATGGAGTCAAGAGGCAAATTCTAAATTTATTAAAATCGTTTTAGATAAACTAAAGATATTTTTGAACTTTCGTTTTTTCTGAAAAAATTCCTCTTTTTCTTAACGTGTAGCCACTTTTTTTGACCAAATTCAATTTTTATTACATTTTACAAAATTCTTGTGACGTATCGCAAAAATGTTACTTTTTGAAAAATCAATGTAAAATATATATCTAAAAAGGGTATTTGCTTGTTTTTGTATGGTTCAAGTATAGGAACGATATGGATGAATTATTTGAGTAGTAGAAACTTGAGGGTACCTAAGGGTTAATTGTTCATAGAGGTAATGAGAAAAGCGGGTGTAGCCTATTAATACCAGGATATATATTAATTAATAAAAATAAATCGACTTGCATATGGGGTAGCGGTAAGACTGAAAAGGTTGAGGAAGCGGGAGGATGCAATCTGAGGGGAACATAGAAGCGCGTGCGCAAGGCGTCCCGACGCCCGCCGACGCCTTCTTGAATGAAACCAAGGAGTCAGTTCGCATCTAGGCGTCCTCCTTCGCACTTTCACGATTTTAACTCCAAGAAAGACGCCAGGAGTGAATTTCCTATGGGATACAAAACGCTTATAGAAAGCCACCACCACACTCTTATTTTAATTACGGTAGGACAGTTTTTATACATTGACAAAAATTTGCATTTCTTATCATTTTTCAAAGTTAATACTAACAAACATAAAATACTTATCACGAAGTCACCGATAAGGATTTAAATCCATAACACATAAGGTTTCGATTGTTTGATTTAAAAAATGCATAATTAAAAAGAAATTCCTTATATTTTCAAAAATCCTCCAGCATCCATCTCCATTGAACGAATTATTTTTCGGATTCAACATTTTTCGAGATTCGACATTTTTAAAAAAATCTCTAACGAATCGAATATCTAATCAGTCAATTTCGAGAAAGGAGTCCGATGACGTATGACAACACGTACCTAAAGCCATCCAAAGTGATACTACTTTGTACAGAGTCTCGTACCGCACGGAGTAATTACTCAGGACGCCAACGTAGCAAGACAAGATTTGAGCAACAGCCACGAATTTCTATACAATCCCGTGATATGTTTTAACGCCATCGAGTCTCCTGTAGTCGTATAGATTGTAAACATGCCAACTAGTCACGTGTCACACGCCACTCTCGGCCAACAGAGTAGTCAATCATAAAATCAAGTTTTCACGCACGACTTATAGGAGTTCGTAATGTCGAAGATACAATGAAAACAGGACCTAACGTATATAAATTGTTTGGCGACATTTTTCAAATTTAAATGACCGCCATTTTCATTTCTCTCAGAACGCCTTATGACAATTCCGTTACAATAGCTCGTCGCGTTTTTCGAAACTTTTAGTCGCTCGTTGCGAAGCCTCCTGAAGCCAACTTAAACAAGGCTTCGGCCAGACCTGGTATATACGAATAGCAGCGAATCTTTACGAAAGAATAAACAATGCGCCTCGTGGAGAGGGACGCCAGAAGTAGACAGAGCTAAGAGAGTGTTTGGAGGAAGGCAGTTAGTTCGTTGGCGCTGAAGATGGCGTCGACGGCGGAGTGATGGCGATTAGCGTCACGCCGTACCCCGAGCAAATTAGTACCTTTGAGTGACCGTTGATTGTTTGGACAGTCGTTTACCCGGCTCGCGAAAGTTCTCGAATAGAAAGCAGAACAGAGTTAGGAATGTCAAACGAGGAAAACGGAGTGAGAAACTAAAATAGATGAAATTGCAAAACGATATAATGTACCTTTCAGATATTTCGCTGACACATAACCTCTCGGTAGACGAAAAAAGCATTTAAAGGTGAATCAAAGAAAGAATGACGTTTACATGATTAATATATTTTTCTCAAACACGAGTACTCGATCGTATGTAAATACAAACCCTCTGGTAAGACTTCTTGGTAAATCTAATTAGATGTTCTAAAGCAACCGTAACGAAATTTCGGACTAGCATGAGTCTGTACGTACTTCCCATGATGCATCTGTGCTTGTATCCAACCGTCCCTTGTGAAGGTAGGCGGACACGTTTGTGGCAAGTTCTCATATACTCCGCCTATGCCTACTGGCCGATGAACACGCGAGCGTATTAAAGGAATATATAGGATATGACTGAATGTTATATAAGGTGTTCTTAATATAGCCAACACTCGCTGGACCTTAGCCATATTCATATACACGTAAGTATGGACGCCTCTGAGTACTTGCGAACCATCAGAGACAGATGCGCGTAATTTAACATCGAATTTGTTTCCGCCTTCGTATTTATTCCTTAGAGGTTAGCCTTTGGAAAGTCCAACAGTCCGGAGGATTGACAATTTCCTGAAACTCGCAAGAGCTGAGGAAAAGTGGCTGGTAGTTGTAATACAGAAGGCAATGCGTCCACCTAGGAGGCATTGGAAAGAATCCCGTCGCCTCGCGACGTTGGTGGTCACGTCTTTTGACTGCTGCCACGTATCAGAGGCATTTAAAGGTTAAATTTAGTAGCTGTCAAGTGTCAGTCAGTCGATCTGCTTTCTTTATAAGTTGAATCGCAGCAAGGGACAGAAGAGGAGGAAGACTTTAATCCTTTAAATAAATAGATATTTTTCTACCCACCGATTCAATACTGCAGCAACAAAATTCACCAAGAACAAATCCTGTTTTTAGGTTAAAGAGGAAACGCGCCTCGAGCAGAAGTGTAATAGGCAGATGTTTTACTCGGAAGGGATGGAAAATGTGAAGAGGGGTAAGTACTGGTAAACCTGTAAAAAGTTTAGCAACATTTTCGAGGACGACCGACAGTGTTGGACGAGGGTGTGTCTTTTTCCGCTTTGCTGCCGCTAAGATGAAGTTCGCCAGCAAAGGGGAACAGGCCGATCCTCCCGCACCAAGTTTGTGGCCATCGTCAACCCGAATCGTGATGCCGTGTGACGTCACGTAACGGTACAGCTTGATTTACAATAAATAAAAATTAGAATTGCATGACGTAGTACTTCCTGGCGCCAGATCTCGTGTCTTCTCAACGTCTCGTCGCGCGACGCTTCTTCGACGTAACGAGGATTTTCAGTGAGCTGTGACGTCACTGTGGAATCGTTGGCTGTTCTAAAGTCGCCTAACTTAATTTTCCTAAGGCACCCACCGAACGTGAAGTTTTGGTAAGTTCGTAAAGGCAGGAACTTGTAAGGTTAAGGTGAAGAACAAGACGGTTTTTAATTGTTTAATTTGTAAAAAGCTCGGCTGACGCGATCGAAATGTAAACTGTTACCAGCGACACTAGTGAAATGGCTGGTTTCTATGAGTCGGGCGTGACGACTGCTCAGCAAACCTCTTGACGTCTGATCGGCAGAAAGGAGCCAGCGACGTCCATCGAGGTACTTGTGAAATGTCGCGGCTCGTAAACTCTTCCTCGTCATGAAAACATAACCTAAGTGTTACCACTACGAATGCCCACGAGTATACCAGAGTGCAAGTAATTTCTTAATTTTGCAAATTCTGAAAGTCTACACAGATCCACATGACAGCCATCTAGAAAATAAAAGTATCATCGAAGTTAGGTGATAATCCATCGCATCGAATGAGGTGAGTCAACGCAATCTAAAAGCTTTAACGAAGATAAGGAAGTATTAACTCGAGAACGAAGTGCCGAAGAGCCAATACCGTTGAGGATCTAAAAGTTTATTGGTACTAACTGTAAGCGAGATATGAGATGAGTGGTGATAAAAAAAAATGTCGAAAAAAAAAAATTGAAATCAAAATGCTAACACTTGCGCATGCGCCTTAAAGCGTCTCTTTAACAAACCCATAACTAATCCAGATCGTAAGTTCGGTTTAAATTTAACCGCGTTTTATTGGCGTACCGGCTGCATCGCGGAACGTAAGTTTCGGATCGTTGCCCGAGGAATAAAAAGTTGCTGGTTCTGGTTTCCGACGTTGGAGATTCGCGTGTGAACGACGGAAGTGTCATGGGCTATCGTAAAATGATGCCTACCCTGTATCCATAAAACTCTAACCCGTAGGGACCTGCCTGGTTACAGACAGGCCGCTAGAAATGCACGTTACTATCGTACCTCTGTTCTCCTCCTCCATCTTCGTTATATTTTCTTTGGGATCCGTCACTCTTCCTCGCCTCGTAAATTACACGGCACACTCTCGCACGCTAAAGACCAGAAGCCCCCACAGGCCGACTTTGATATTCCGTCGATGTAAATCTTCGGGTTTTAAGACCTTGCTAAAGCCCCTTTAACATTCTCTAAGGTTCACCGCTGTAGTCTCATCCTCCTCGTTCTCCTGAGATCGCCTGTACGTGTCGGCCTTACGCCTCCGAATTAGTCCCCAACGTGTCTTCGAATTACTCCCCTCGTGTCTTTAGGTCGTAGTTCTCTTATTACTGTAAAAGAAATATATGTATATTGTATATATAACAAATAACTTGTCTTGGACTGTTTTAGAAATTATCCTCCAATAGTACTAATACTAATATACTAATACTATAATACTAATACTATAATGCTAATACGAATTATAATACTCGAATAGATTTGCACGTGACATACCTATGGGGCCGTTAACGATATGAAATTGGCGAGTTCACGTTTCCATCCGGTTTCCATTCTATTTCTAACCCCAGTGCCTTAAGTAACTTCATGGCTTGTCTATGGAGTTAGTAAAAGCGATCGTAAAGCTACGAAATATGAAAAGTTGATGTACGCACAAGTGAGGCAGCATGCGTGAAGACGGATGCTACGTCGGGAGGCTGTGAAAATACACAAGCGTCTTTCCACGCGTTACTCTCGTCCCTCTGATTCCCATCAGCGAAGTCGAGGAATCCCGCGAAAACTCATACCTGTCTAAACACAAGCCAGTTGCATAACCTCATCGTTAAATCGAACCGTTTGTTATTCCTTGCAGAATTAGCGCGCTTTACCCATATACCTACACAGAGGGAGCGTTGCCGTCGCGTAAGCAACCAGTCGGTAACAGGCGCTCTGCTCCTAGGATAACCAAGAATCATTTTGACAGTTAGACTTTGAGACTCCCAACCTCTAAGTGGAGATCAACCGTGTGCAATCTGTTTGCCGTTAATCACGACAGGATGCGCGACCCTTAGGACGCCTTGGCTTTACTGACTATTTTCGGTCGCGACAGAACGTAGAGGTAATATATCCGTTGGCGATACGACGGCTCACGAGAACAGAAATAAAGTGGAGGGAACGTACCGTTGACAGACCTCCCACGCCTTTGTAAAGTACTGTTCTGTGCGAACAGACCAAATTCCAAATTCGTCCACGCTTATACGTTTCACCCTTATCCTTCAGGATTGCATTTATGTAAGATCCGTCCTTACAACGCGGAAGTCAAAATCTCAGTCAGAGTTAAAATTATACGGAATCGTGAAAATGTTGGAACATTAAGGAAAAATTTATGTGAAGCCTTTGGATATGCTTTGTGAAGAAGCTGAAGACGACTCTTGTGGTATTTTGTAGCACAATTTAATTGTGGACGTTAGAGGTACGTTAGAGACGCCAAGTGCGTCGTTATTAATTTTCGTCGTTGATGCGTCGGCAGAGAAGGAAAATCAAATGCGCTCGTGCGTTCAAGCGTTCGAGCTGCACGTGCTAAGAAGTTGCAACAATCTCGTGGGCTCGTACCAGCATCAGTGATACACTGTAAAAGTTTGGATTAGTGTCTAGAATACGTTAAGACAGGAATAAGAATAAAGTAAATAAACTGTAGAGGATATCCAAATGACTGACTGAATATATAAACTGCTTGAATTTATTGACGTAGCAAAATCTACAATTTGTAATAGTGCATTGCGACGGAATAGATCTGGAGCTCTAACCTTAAATAATAGAACGCGTTACCGAGAAATGAATGTTTGTCGCATCTGGTAAAGATAAATTTTACGTCGTTCATAATTTTGAGTTAACCAAAAAGCAGATTCAGTGAGCTAATTCGGGAATGAAATGAATTTGACTTTTGATTTTAACGATAGTGAATCTTGACATTTTTTAAATATAAATTTAAGGATCAGCGTTAATCGTCCATGGCTAACAAGGACTCTGTGGAAGTTGTACAGAATGTTCATCTTGGCTTTGTAGATTAACGAGATGAACTGTCGACGGTTGTTAACAATGCTCCACGACGTAATTGACAGGATTTTTAAGTAGAGCGATCGCAGCGTCTCTGCTGGCTCTTTTAATAACCGGGACAAAGATTAATGTCCTCCTTAAAAGCTTTGTCTCGCCTTCCGTGTCGTTGTTCTCCTTGTGTCACCAGATTTACAAACGGCCGTCGAAAGCAGCCATCGGCCACGATCGGCAGCCGCCCTATTTGCCAAGCAGCTTGAAGTTCAATTCTCTTCCTCCAACTCGATCCTATTTCACCACCGCGTGTTTCCATATTTCGATGCCGCGGCGAATCTGGCTGCTGGATCATAAAATTCAAATCAAAGACGTCATTTACGAGTTCTAAAATTATGGAAACTTCAATCGTCGCGGGATTTCATCAGGTATATGTGGTCGCTATATATTTTCATAAAATTGTCACTTTTTTAACGCTCATAAATTTTCAGCATTTTTTTCTTTCATATTCTACTAAACTAGTTTTCTCTTGGATTTTCGGAAACCGTGACAGAAACGGACACGGTGTTAATTGTGAGTTGGTAATGAAGGAAAAAAAAAGAAGATTTCTTCCGTGCTGTGTATGATTAATATGCGAAACACTCGTGCAATCATCGTGCTCCATTAAGCTGATTAGGATCTCAGAGAACGGCAAAGAGAACTGTGGAGGCCAGTATGATGCTTAATAAATCTTACGTACGCATAATCCGAGTGGGTGGGATTACGAGCGCGATACATAGTTTCTTTTTGAATTTTGGCTCGACAGTCTGGCACCGTCATCCGCATCCTGATATTACGGGACACTTGGTGGAAACTGAGCCAGAGATCGCAGAACGGAAATGCTCGATATAAGAGAGAATAGATCTACGGATATCATCAGCTAGTTGAAGTTTCATTAATCTCTTCAGCATTCGATTGATCGATGAAATTTCTCCTTCGTTCTAGATCAATTGAAATATGCCTAAGACGATAAATCGTGAAATTTATATGAATGCTGATTCGTATAGCATTCCTAAGCTATATTTCACTGTGTTTAGTTCTCTTTTTTCCGATTTTTTTTTTCTTATCCACCTCTTCCCCATCGTCTAAAGGCTAAATATACAGCGCGCGCTATTTGAACGCAACCAAATTTATTTAACCAAATTCTGGAATGCACGAGTTTACGTTCCCCTCGAGCGTCATTGGATTCTAGGAAAATTCAGGATGCCCAAGGAAATTAAAAAATATTTTTGTTCTGCACATTCATATTTGACAATGGGATATGATCAATTTAATATTTTAGTATGTACAGGCTGTTTCAAAAATTTTTATTATCGCAAGCCAGACAAGCGACTCAAATTTTATTCGTGAGCTCTAGTAACTGAACATTTTTTACGTGTTCTTATATCGCGGAGCGAACTCTAACGACTATTAAAACTTTGATTCTGGTTGGCAAGAACTTTTACACGAATACCAACTGTTAAACGTGTTTCTACGATCAACAAAATCATTTGACGGAATTTTCGCACGTCCGCAGAGCATATTTACACGTGTAAAAATCAAGAAAATTTCATACGTGAGAATTTTCAAAATATACATTTTCACGCAATCGTTATTTATTACGGACACTAAAAGTACCTATAAAGTCAAAATTATCTTGGCGAATTATGAGTGGCATATAAACTGTGGCACCAATGACGACACGCAGCCTTTTCTGTTTTGTTCTAATACAAATCTGAACGCTACGCGTTGGTAATTTACTATTCACTATACCTTTTAACCAGTCTCGTTATCGACTTCCAGCAGGATTACTGATAGCATCAAAAATATCTGCCTCCCAGGTCTCGTTATTCCTCTGCAGACTGTATATTTTGAATCCATTTTTTTCCCCCATAGCAGCGGAATCCTATGCGATTTTTCATTATACAAATGCTTCGATAGCTCATCCATCTACATATGTATTTATAAGCACCTATATAATACCTGAAAGCTATGGGCGTTCGGCGAACAATCGTAAATCTTGTCAACGCTACTTAAAATCCATTCGTTACAATTGTTTTGGTGGTTGTTAATATCGAGACGAGATTTGTCCCAGTTAACAGAGAAACATTTATTTTCGTTATAGTTTGGTATAAAAATATCATGCTGTGGTAGAAAAGAAAGATTTCATTTAATATGAAAACATTTAATTTTCTTGATACTTGATACCAACCAGATTGAATATCAAATCGATTCTTTCTACTTCCGTTTCCATCGCAGTGACTGCGAGCTGCATTAGATTTATGAGAGGTTCTCAGGCATCGGGTTTACATTGTGCAGACAACGCGAAGTCCCGAGTCATTAACGTCTCCCAGAGAAGATGAATTTCTCCTGTGGCTCGTAGAACAGTTGATAAATGAGTCTTAGAGGTACGAGCTATTTGGTTTTCTGCAAATTGCACCAAGGAGCAGCACTACGTTCGTTTTATGGCTGTCGCACTTTCATAATGGCGCCACGGTGCTTACGCCATTCTCCTTGGACAGTGAGGCATGAAGATTCGACATGTGTTTCACGTAGTGGATGCCTCAACGACCACCTTCTCCTTTAAATCATTTCTCGAAATTCTTAGGTCTCTTCGCTTTATCTCAAAGAGTTAGCGCGACGCGAGCGAGTGGCTGTAGCTTGGAATTCGTAAATATTTCGCAGCTCGCTAAAATAAAGCTTCGCAAGCAGCACACGAAGTGCGTCAGTTCTGCTGAGAAACTGAATCATCCGATATTTCTTAAACTAGAGTCACGCCGGATCCTTTACATATGGCTGGATCACACGGCTCTCCGACGGGATCAGGTTTGAGATGAGAAACTGTTTTTTGAACACTGTTCCAATTTGAAGAATTTCAATGACAGCCATTCAAGTAGGTGTTTATTTTCGTGGCGTATCTGAAAGTTTGAAGAATCTGATTAAGAATCTTTTAGCTCGCAGAATAAATGTTTTTACGTTATAGACTTAGTCGATTAGAATATATTATCTGAGGAAAACATATATTTTCAATGACCCATACTAATTTATCAATTGCTCGGAAAAAATAATCACCTAATAAATGTCGCACGTTAAGCCTACTTCGATAGTCCTACTATCTTCTATTCTTGTTGATTGCCATTAATTTTCAACGACCATAAAGCCATGTCATGGATTGTTCATGGCTTCCTGTTTTAGACACCGAGCACGAATTTTCGAGTCTTTCGAAAACGAAAAAAAAATGTCTCGGTATCGTGTTTACCAAACTTACCAGAGTATTCGCGGCGTCGTGCCTACCACTCCTGACTAAACGCAGGGAGGAAAAAAGTTTCAACGACGCCAGACGTTACCAGACTGAAATGCGCCGTTATATCTTTTAGTGGCTTTTTTCTTTGTAGAAAATATTCGCCGTTCGGACATGCACCATGAGGTTATGCATAATATATTTGTCTAAAAGATATTTAAATCCTGAGTTGCCATTTACAAGAAATGAAGTCACACCATGCTGCTGGGAAATGTTAAGCTCATTCTTAGTAAATACTTCAAACTCATTACCTGGTATAATTGAAACAGCATGTAACATTTCCAAACGAAATGATGGTGGAAACGTTGTTATGTGTTTCGCAAGGCAATCTTAACGATTCCGTAGAAAGATGCTGGAATGGTTACGTCTAAGGATAGCTGGCAGAGAGATGAGGTTCAGCAGGGAGGAAGTATATCCGGATCTCTATTTATTGCTTTGATTATTGGTTAGTGCGGGATCAGAGAGAGATAGACGTAGAGAGTGAGTGGAGAGAAGAGAGAATCAGGGGGGAAAGAGTTGGATTTTAAACATTCAAATACTGTGTGGCGTGCCGTGACGTCTGGCGACCTCCAGTGGTGTCGCCTCGACTTAATTTGTACTTTTGCGCATGCGCACATCGCCATGTGTAAAACGGTCGCTTCCGCTATCGAGCAGGAGGAAAATGGCCGTCGCGCGCAGTTCTCTGTTTATTTACGTATTACCGATGATTAATTGATTGCGAGATTTCGCAGTTAGTGTGCTTTACATCGTGGATTGATTCGTTTTGCAATTAAATCGAGACGCGATGCTGTGACATTGTTACGTCCAAGTGATTCTAGCCCGTGAAAATACGATCGGTCTTGAATTGCGTACGTTTTGCGTGTTGTGTCCTCGGAACTCCTAACCTAACAGGCGCCCTCGGGCCTTGAGGTATATTCTGGAATTTTTTGAAGTGCCGTCACCTCTGTTTGTCAACAGTGAAACGTCAAGATGCCATGTTCTCGCAACCTTTGAACGTCACGTCCCAGAAAATCACTAACATGGCTGATGAGGTGTTACCAGCCAGTTTGGAGAAGCTGGAAATTGATCGACTCGCACTCGCAACCCCACGGTGAGTTGTCGCATGCTCCACAGACCGAGAGAGCTTTTCCGGGTTTCTAAAGCGCCTGCTCGTGTCTCCTTGTCCTTCAAGATTTTCATGGCTCTACCGCCTGTCTGTCTCCTGTCTGCCTGACGCGTAGATTCCGTCTTGTTTCTTCCAAAACGAATAACGCGTTCGTTCCTTCTGGTTGTTTTGCATTTTATACGAAACGAATCGACGCTGCATCTTGTTTCTACTGAGTATAATACTTTTCAATATAATTTTAAGCCTCGATACTTCTCTTTTACTCATTGGTGTAATGTGACAGAAAATCAAGGTGTGTACTGTGTATAACTGGCTGTAGCTTTGTTGAAGTATGTTATCAAACTGCAGGGCTATATGTTTAAAAAAAAACATTTCCTTATACTCTCACGTTACTAAAGCAACCTTCCGGGAAACATTAATGATTCGTTATTTACACTGTGCCGCTGCTCTGCTTTCGAAATTGATGTGTGTTTGCAGTTCGTTGTATTTTGAAATTGGGTCACGTTTAAATGTTCGTTTTTATCCATCTAACGGCACCTCGCGAAACTCATTCCGCTGCCTTTGGCGATTGCATAAGTATCACGCTTAGACTGTATTTACTGACGTTTGCTTCAAGGCCTCGAACCAAAACTCAATGACTTGTCACTCTTTGTTTGAAGAGTCAAATTGTGTTAATCATTCAAAACCATAAGCTTCTAACGCGGCTGTAGCCTCGCGTGATTATTTAGCCACTTAATCAGCAAAACAAATAAATAATTTAAACGAATGTTTTTACTTTCAGCAGCACGAGTACGGACAATTCTCCACCACCAAATCCATTTCGCGCATCGAGCAGAGGTACCGGCTCGGATTGTAGTCACCTGTTTCAACGAAGATCAATGCCTAACAGGCCAACCCCGTCCGTGATCAGCCCTCGCGGCGTCAAGAGCACAACGAACTTCAAACCTTCTCGAAATGAGAGAGTACTCGACAGCACAAAAAAGAATTCAATCATCAAAGAAGCCGTCCTGAAACTATACGGCTCTGGATCAGCTGGTCTCAGTGAAAACCTTGCTACTACGCTACTCGAGGAGGCCTGTAAACTCAGTATTTCCAGTAGAAGTTCCAAAACATTTGGCCACGGCTCAGTCACAAAAGATTTCAAGGCCCTTAACATAAGTCCAGACTCGAGGCGAGTGAAAGACGACGCAAGTATCGAAACATATTACGCAAGTAGCTTTCAACGCGCACGTAGTAACACTATGCCCAGCCTAAAGAGAGGTCCTGGTCCTGGCGGAGGTTCCAGCTCTCCGGCGGATTCGCAAAATCCATCTGGCACTGGTCAAACCTCGAGCTCGAACACTTGTTCGGTTCAGGCGCGAATATCCCCGCCGCCATGCGATGTAACCATCGACGAACTCGCAAGCTACTTTGATGAGTTCGTTCATATTCCAAAGAAGATGTCTCACATGGCGGAGATGATGTACATTTGAATTTAATCATTTGATGCATGAAAGTCGAGTTTGCAATTTCGTTAGACGAGATGAGAATTACTTGGACGTGGACCTCTCTTTCTCGTGACACTTCTTTCTCATCCTTGAGACAGCTGTGTATTTGGTATAATTTCCTTTCTCCGATTTACTAATTAAATTATATTTAATATATAATAAAAGCGAAGGAAGCATCGTGTAAAGGATTAATGATTTTCTTGGGTGATGAGACCTTTCAATGGAATCCTTTTCGAATCCTAACGAAGATTGACACGTTCTCAAAGTCTTTATGTCGTATAATTACAGACGTTCTCTTGCAATTATTTATTTACGTCCCATCACCTACACTTTGTTTCTTATCTGCGGAAGACCCCTGGTGTCGAAGATTTTTGTACTGCGAAATAAAAGTAATCGGGTTTAGAATACGTGAATCTTAACACCGTGGAGTTTCATTATCGAGCGACAAGGACGATCTATCATTTAATATATGATACACAATATATTTATCTGTATAGGCTTATAATAATTAATACAATGATACAAAGTAATCATTAAATTACTTAATAATAGTAAGCTTTGGTACATAAACAATGACGACAGTATATCGAATCATTACTTTAATTAGGAGTAAACCGTGTGTACCGTGTTGGTGCGTGCTTTGCAAGGGACTCTGACAAGAAGCCTGAATGTGATAAAAATATTCCTTTTTCCTTATATCTCTCTTGTGAGTCTTCTGGTAGGAACGCATCATCGACGACCCTTCCAGAGAACGTGTAATGATCTTCTGCGATCATCGCAGTCCTCCATATGTTACCTGCTTGTCACGCCTGATCCTAGCTCCTTGGGATAACGAACCCGATAACAAAATTTGAGGTCTGCCGCTATATCACAGATTTTACGAAATTTCATCAAGACGGGAGCTACGACCAAGTACGCAGGAAGGATCGGACCCGGATATACAAGGAATTCACAGGATGGACATTCGCAACTTTATAGATCCCCAAGGATGATGATTAAGTACAATGCAAAATCGACAGCCTCTTCGCGAGGAACTATCACAGTAACTCTTACTCCAGGAGATGCCCCGGCTAGAGAGCTTGCTCAGGGTGCAGATCGAGATGCGTATCTCTATTTTAAAAATGGCAGTAAAAACGTCATCCTCGTCGCTCGCACCCTGAAGAGTGCTTTAACAAAAAGATTACATCTCCTAGATCAAAGTTCGTGCGCGATACGCACGACAAACTGATCGTCGTATCAAATAGATAAAACTCACAGGGGAGCTTGGTCAATTTTCATGAATAAGGTAGTGCTACAGGACAAACTTGACACGTGGAATGCAATGCGGAGCTCGTTACGCGCTTTGATAAATAATAAATGGCCAAGTTGGAGTAACGAGCTGGGAAGGAAGCTAAAGAAGCGATAAAAATCAAATGACTTTGACACACTGTAAATATTCTCTTTTTCGTGGCGCTAAACGTATCGCAATCTATGAAAAACTTTTTGGCCTGACGTATCCTGGCTGGCGATTCTCATGAATCATCGCACGACCCTCAAAGTATTGTCGCTGCCCGGAAGGACCCGTTTGGGGATGGCGAGATTGAGAAGCTTTTGTACAGCAGGATGCGAAGGAAGCTCCATCCCTCCAGAGAGTAAGTAAAAACTTGAAAAGATTGACAGCATTATTCACAGAACGCGTGAGATTTTATAAAACTGAAAATACATTATTCACTCGGTGAGCTTCCTTCACGTTTCTAGATATTTCTCATACTTCTTTTTGTCTCTATTAGTAATTTTAATTTTCATTTGTTCATTTCTTTTTTTTTTTTTTCCTTATCTTTCGCTAACCTGACTGGACGTTGTGGACTATAAAAGAGTTCTTGTCATTTACGTCACGTGTGTTTCATGCATAACTTAAATGATTGCCTAGTGCGAAGAACCTTTGAGATCGACGTCATCGCCAACGTCATCGTCGTCATTGTCCGTAGTCGTCGTAGAGAGTATCAACTCCCGGACACGTCGAATAACACAGCAATATTTTGGTCGGTATAAAATGCTTATAGAAAATTCTATTGGACGTAGAGCTAATTCCTATCATCACTTTCGCTCGTTCACTTTTCTTTTTTCTTTTTTGTTCGACTCTCGCGTATTCTTATTAAATTTTTATCTACGTACCATGATAATATTTCACTGTGCTTAAACGTCTAGTCTATATTAACATTAGAGCTTACACTTAACGATACGCACCGTGAAGGGCGCGGCGAACACTTCCGGATTCGTACGAGCTTTTCCAGAACGCTTTTCAAAGAATTTAAAAAGAAAAAGACATACAAACGACACAGTACGAAACCGTAATGGCCGCGCGCCACACCTCTTCTACGATCTAGAATCCTAGCTATTCTGCTTATTCTTCATCTTTTTTTTTTTTCTTTAGTAGAAAATTTACAATTCTTCAAATAGTTTGTACGAGTAACATCGATGGCTTAAGTTTATATTTCATACGTTCCCTTCACTCATTCATTATTTTTATCTGTTTGCGACGATCGATTATTTTTCTCTCTTCTAACGATCGGACTTTTTGAATAGATTTTTTAAATATTTCTTTTTCTTTCGGTACATTCACACAATCACACTTACGTCGTTACTAGTAACTTTTATCAAAATCTCCCTCTTACGCGACCTTGGCCTTTGCAAATAAATAAATAATGTCTGTCGGCGTACTTGTCGAGTCGCGTGTTAGAGTGAAAAATTCTTGGGCTTCACCAAATGTAAAATTTTAAAAACGTGGAAACCAAGTGGATTGCAAATTCAAATTACACTAATGGCCTGACTTCGAGCACTTACCGAATTTAACTTCGATAATCATTAACGCTATCTAGTACGGTAGTACTATAAAATGAGTCACGTATCTTTGACGGTCTTCTTTGTTTACACGAGGTTCTAATAAATTTTTGGAACACTTTGCCAAGGATGAAATTGTTTTTGTCGCTTCGTTAAAGTTTCATATAAAGTGGGTACCACACGAAGAATCTCGATCAGTGGGAAATCACAGGAAAATTGTAAAATTACTTAATTAACCAGTTACGTATACTTCAAACTTAATGGTAGAAATGATGTTTTACGAACCGTCTAGAAAAATTAATTATATTCTATACAGCACGGCGTAATGTCAGTTTCGTGACGCAAAGTCTTTTTTTTTAAATGACATAATTAATCTCCATAACACTCTACGCTCTACATCATTATTTGTGCTATCTTCAAACCTCGATCTCGCCATGCGAATTCGTGCGCGTCGATTGTTCGTCAAAATGGTTAACGAAAGACGTAGACATAATAAATAATCCGAGATCAATGTTAATGCTCATTAAAGAATTATCGCGAAGGATACGTTGGTCGTACAGTTGCGCGTCAATTTTCTCTTTTTACATTGTTCATTCCACATTCTATCCGATTAGCCTAGGATTACAATGACTAATTTATACCGTTAGCTGTTTGAAATTCAAAGTTTCACTTACATCAACTCTAACCTTCTTTCCCTACTCACTAAAACATTTCCTTAACTTTACCAATTGTTCTTCGGATTAATTATCCATCGAGTCTTTTTGCTTTACTCTCCAAATTGCAAAAGATTACGTTAAATAGAACGTCGAATTACGATTCCGTAACTTTATACAGAGATATCAATTTCTACATACGTAATAGTACGTACGTATTTGCAGAAAATCGCGGTCCCTCATAAAAATCGGCCTAGTCTCATCGGATCGGAATTCTTTGCACAGCCTGCCACTGCCTCTGTACTCTCAAATATCTTTTCCATTACCTCTTACATATCTCCAATGTTCATGGCACGTAAAAGTTTGTCTTCGCGCGATTTTTCAGGAAATCGCGAGAAATCTCGTCTGGCATCAAATATGAATTCGGCATCATTACGAGAATCCAGTAGGGATCTTCACTCTCGGAATTGACCTGCTTTCCATCCTTCTTGGAATACGTAAAGATCCAAGTAAACGCTCCAGACGCATGCGCAGTATTACAGCCAGGTTCAATCGTTCAGGAACCATTTGGTCTTGTATATCGACCATCGAGAATTGTCGAACCATTTCCCAATCCTAGATTTCAACAATAAATACCATAAAATTCCATGGCATAGTTGATGTCCGCTGGATGAAAACGACCATGCGGCACCATATGATTCTGCATGTGGGCCATATATCAGTCTGTTGTCGGTTCCAGGTATGGTATCTCACTGGTCACATTGAATGACTCAAAGTAATGATTCAGGAACTCGAACGTGGGTCTTTTCTCCGGACTGGCGTCCCAGCATTGCAGCATCAGTCGGTAAATGCTATCTGGTAACGGATGGTTCACTGGCTTAGGCATTCTATAACCTTTGTCTACCTGCTCGATGACTTCACGACCATGCATGCCTATGAAAAGGAGAAAAGCAACAGATTAAAGATAAAAGGTGTTTGCAGAAGGTTGTGACAAGAGAATGATTCATAATGATATTTACCAGGATAAGGAACTTGACCATAGGTGAAGAGTTCCATGAGTAGTATACCGAAAGACCAGACGTCACTCTTTATACTGAACCTTCCGTAAACGATAGCTTCCGGTGCAGTCCACTTTACAGGGAACCTGCTACCTTGCTTAGGACAGTACTCATCATCCTCGATGACCCTGGCTAATCCAAAGTCGCAGATCTTAGCTTTATTGTTCTCGCCAATGAGCACGTTCCTGGCTGCCAGATCCCTGTGTATCAGTTGCTTCCTCTCGAGATGTTCCATTCCGCAAGCAACCTGAGCAGCTATGTAGATCAGATCTTCGAATTGCATATATTTGCCATCTCCGGTCCTAAGGAAATCCAGCAAGCTTCCGTTACACATGTACTCCTGGATTATGTATATGGGTTCCTCGTTCGAGCAGACGGCATACAAGGCAACGAGATGCCTGTGCTTAAACTGTTTCATAATCGCTGCTTCCTGGAGGAAAGCCTCTGTCGACATGGTTCCAGGCCGCAAAGTCTTTACCGCCACTTCCGTTTTGTTCTTCCACTTTCCGTAATACACCTCACCGAAGTTCCCGTGTCCCAGCTTCTTGATAAGCTGAACCTCGTTCCTGTTGATTTCCCACTTGTCCCGTAATTCCGGTCCTAGGTCCCACATGTCGGGCTGCGGCTTTGGACACGGTCTCGAGAGTACGTGACACAAGCCCAGTGCGTTCTCTAAGGAAAGAATTATCACGTTCGCGTTTCACAAGTAATAAATCTGCCTGTATCTACGAGCTACTAAGGTTGCCACTCACTGCTGTACGCCATGACGAGGGCGGGCAAAGTCGGGAACGTCTGATTCGTAGCAATGTAAAATCCTCCATTATCCAGCGGCTTTATTTTATAATGTTTTACATGATGGCCCCGGCTCTCTTCCCAATCCTTCACAGACAAGCTGTATCCTCGGGGATTATGTTCACTAGGTCTGACCAGGAACGTCCCTCGAGGGTTCTCCTCGACCAGAAGAAGTTTTCCTGCCTCCTTTCGCGAGACATTCTCGAAGAACCAGCTGCGTAATATAACTCAAGGTAAGTCAGACTCTCTTGAACTTACAATGTCTCTGGTACAATTAACTATATTTAATAATTACTCTTCGCTCTCAACGGAACGCTCTATGGCCACGAAATTCCATGGTATAAGACCTTCCTGAAGTGTAGTCAAATGCAGCACCTTCCACCATCCAGTTTCCGTGTCATCCAACACCTCCATCCGGTCACCCTTGACGAAACTGACATCGGTACTGTCCCTCGCCCTATAGGTGTACAGGGCGACGACGATCTTGTTCGCTCGTTGCGAATGAGCTATGCGTGACAAAGAAAAAGAAAAATCAATAAAGCCCATTCACCATCTCCACCGCCAAAGATCGAATATGACAAATAGAGACATTGATGGCCAATTGCAAAAGCGTCTGTTCAAAGAAATCAGCATAAAAGCGCCAACGAACCAAGCGGACCGCGACGCAGTCTATTATAGTGAAACTAAAATTGAAAAATAAGATGTAAATAAAAGAAAAATACACACATGCAGCGATAACGACAGGCGAACTTGATTGATAAGATTGCTGCGGAATCAGTATCTTACAAGGTGTCGGTCTTGGTCGTATAATATCCACCCTGGTCGGTGCAGCACCCCTCTGCTGGTTCGGATCAGCCGAATAACGATCCAGGGAACCTCCGTTGCTATTATTCTTCGAACTTGGACCGGTCTCCGTCTTCTTGTAACCTGAACAGACTGCTCGTTTGACAATCTCGTCTAAGAAACATCAAGATAGTATACCCAGGCTTATTCAGAAGTTAACGCACCACCTGAATAGGCCACTTGGCTCTGCCACGTGAATAAAATAGGACTAGTTATCTTCAAGGGGTGGATTAATTTTGAATCACCTTCTATTTTATTTTTATTATCTGTCATTTTTATTATCTTGAAACAAAATGACAAATTTCCAATTAGCATGTAGCCGTACGTTATAGACATTGTCACTGTCAAATTACACGTCTGATCATATATGCATATATTCATGTATGCTTAATCCAGACTAAATATTATGTGTACAATGCATTTGATGTGGCTGTGCTGTCTTTTTTATTTCCCACAAAAATTCACTCATTTTTATTAAATAAATTGAGTACGTGCGCCTTATGGAACATGAAGGATGGTCTCTGAATAGTCGAGGACACTGTCAACCTAATTCACAGAATATTCATATTTTTAGAACGCGTTATTCACTCCGCAGACTTTTACCCCACTTGGTAACCCAGTACCGTTGGAAAATCAATGTGGACTTGTGACAAGGGTAGAAAGTTTGGAAACTCCTACGCAAACTTACCGATCGGTTGGGGCTCCTGCCTTTTGCTACAACACTTGCCCATCTTGAATGACGATCACGAGGAATCCTCCTGAGGATCCTTTTAAGGATCTTAAACCCTTTTTCCCGTTTTCACGCAATCACTGCCATAAGACTCCATTGCGACTTCTCTTGGATGTACTTCTCTTTTAGAATTCACTTCTATAGCCAGTGCTGTCCATCTTGGACCCAGAAACCTAGAACGTCATAAGGTTTCAATTAGTACACGTTACGTATGCTCAACGGAAGATTCATTGTTCCTATAATAACGCTACGAAGTGATGATTACGCAGAAACCATACATATAATGCATATACACAGTACAGATATACACGTGTATATACACGGTGTGCATTACGAATTTCGTCATTCTTGGAAAACTCTCACCAACCCCGTCATCTCATCCCGTGTATAACTCCTACCTCGAGAGTCAATCGATCAAGCAGAGATGTTTATTTATTCGAAAGAGTCTCAGAGGTATTTTTCATCGGTCCTCGTTTCGCTATTTTCTTTTATTTTATTCCTTCCTCCCATCGTTTTATCCCTTTCGTTCTACGCTTCTCGCGATGTATCTTTCACAGCCGACGCAACTCTCGCCTTTCGACCACATATGGTTTCGAGTGGTCGAGCCGGGCCAACAGGAGCGTATCTACGCCAGAAGATCGATATATTTCAATATTAGCGTCTCCCGACGTTAATGTCAGCACGTAAGCATGGAAATTGATAGCAAGCCTTGAGATTATGCCAAATATAAAAAAAAACCCAAACCTAACTACCGCCGAACAAATTTCGAGTGTCCCTGCTACACCTGGAGAATAAAATGTTCGTTGACCCGAGTCAACCTCATTTTTTGACAATATATTTCCAATATGCCAATAACATATCGAAAAGTATCGATCCGCCTTCCAGTTGAAAGTATCGAATTTGTGAAAGTCTCTAACTAACTACGGCCCTGAAGACACTTTCGTTCGACGGTGGTCTCACAAGAGGCGAAAGATGCCAACCAAAGATACTTTTAGATGTCTCTTCGGTACTTGACGGATACCTACTCGATCTTGAATCGAAATTCGACCGGAACTAAGATTCATGAAGTAAATTTAATAGTACGCATAACTGGGTAAACGCGAAGAGAAATTTTTCTTATAAAATTAAGCAGTTGGAAAAAAAATTTTAATACTTCAAATATTTACGTCATAGGATCTGATAAGCTTCTCAGGCGTTTTTTTAATAAAAATTCTTAATGTGACTTTACAGCTTATACTACCTTGAGTTAAGCTACTGATAATAAGTCAAGGGACGGTTTACAGAGGGGGTTCGCGTTGGGTCCTAATATGGATATAAAAATCAACCCCGGAACAATGTTACAATGTTGTCTTTAAAAGTACTAGCTATAGGGTGTCTAAAAGTTTGTAATTAAACGAGCTGTCCCTAAATATTTGGATGAAATAATGTCTTCAGACCGAACCAGGGTTGGTCGCTCGCAATTGTGTTAGTCAGACAGCCAGCCACCCAACTAGCCAGCCAAGCCAGTCTGCCAGCCTCCTGACGGTGCTTACGTTGCCTGGTCACACAGATGGGCAATGCACGCGTCAGCGAGGGTGTGGGAGAGAAAGCGAGAAAGTGAATAAGTGCGTAAAGGAAAGAGACCCCCATAGAAAGTGGCACCGTATACTGCGTCTATATATCACCACGATGCCCAGTTATATGGGGACGGTCGATATCCATGGTGGTCTGCTGTACGATGTTAGTTTTATACATGGGCAATAGGAATACTTAAAGGTCTGGACACGGAGTCGAAAAATTTCATAGTTCTGTTCTTTTCCTTTGAAATGATTGTCAGATAATATTTACCGGCTTTTATCTTTCAGTGTCATATCCCGTTACGGTTAGAGTGACATGAAAATTATTTTTCTTTTTTTAGACAGCCAAGAGAGCCAGGGCCAATGGAGAGCATTCTTTCAGATTTGTCAGGCTTAAAGTTCAACCCTCGAAATATCCACCCCTGGAATATACGTAAGCTCCCGATTTGAACACTACGCCCTCTTCTCGTAGTCGAGCCAACATGGCAACAACCCTCCGACCCATAGTAACTACACCGCGTTTCGGCGAGATAGGACATTATTGCAGTCCAGGGGCGTAGCTAATAGTGGTTCCTACAAATGTTATTGACAATCTTGACACTGGATGTTGGATCGTGAAACTAAAAGTCACAGAGGATAATTAAAAAATGTCTAGTAAGCGATTAAGTAAAAGGGATAAGGAAAATGTTCCTTAAGGGTGACGTGACCCGAATTTTCCAGTATTATCTTTACGACGTAACCGGTGGGAATCTTGGAAAATTTTACCATTTTTGCAGCAGGAAAATATTCCATAGAAAGGGAGAAAAGGGAATGTCAGTTCAATAGGACGAGACAAGCTATTATTGGACTCGTTGGAAATTACGTTTCTCGTTTTACCTTATAACAGTAAGATTCCCTGGATTGGGTGGTGCTGGAACCCGAGGGTTCAAATGGGTTTGAAATTCGACTAGGGAGAGCTCTTGGCGCTACGAAGGAGACGCTCGCTTTCCTTCCAACCCCTAATTTCGGTCGACGTCGCTTCAATACTTGGATATGTGTATCGTAGTAGCGCCTCTATAATTTCATAGGGCGCCGAGGGTGCCTTCCGTACAGTATGTCGCTTGCAAGTATTTCGAACGATACGTTGGGGATAGCGAAAGTGGATACGATAAACAAGGTATAAACAACAACGAACGATAATCAGATCGACTGGAGTTAACGCTCGAGAACTTTGAACGCAAGAAAAATTCTATTAAAAAAAGTTAAAATTTTAGTTTTTCTTTATAATAAAAAAAGATGTTTGAACGCTTTAATCGTGTTTGTATTGTGAATTGTACACGGAAAATATATTACATCGTATTTACTAAATTTCGTGTAACGTTCGAACACAGTTTCAAAACTGATACCTACTTACCTGATATTCATTGTTAGGCTAAACTGAAAACCCCGTTATACGGAAAATGTGTGGTTCGCTACGAAACAATAGAGTCCTGCTGTGCCAACAGGGAGAATTTTCCTGAATACGCAGAAGTCCCCATTCTACGTCCCTTGCGATTCGTAAGCGTCCTCACTCTATGTCTCTCGTACTCTCTTCCGTCCCTGCCTCATTAGTTCTCTTCTTCGAACAAGACTTTTCAGATAGTACTACAGCGCATCCTAGTCGTTTAAATAGAATACATTCGAGCTTATACCGGGGGTACCAGTCGTTACCGACGAAAGCTTGATAATTTTACATCCATTTAATGTAAAACTATTGATCGCTGATATATAAATAGGACTAGGTACATAGTACCGAAGGCTGGAAAGCCCGGTATCGATTTCCTGAGTGCTTTCAGGAGATTTGTCGAATATAATTACAAGAGACAGTACCGAGTAGTTGAGAGATCATGTGAATTTCTGTAAAAGACGACCGGGAAATGAGACACACGGTTAAAGTTACGTGCCTCGCGTCTCGTGACTAACCCACGGAACATCCATGAGTCACGAAAGATTCTCCTCGGTTATAAGAGCCAAAGAATAGGCGTCGTTAAGGCCAATATCACGTGTAAGGGTCAAGCAGGCCTTAAAGGCGTACTTAACCTCCAAATGGCACAGTAGGTCCTATTATTTTCCTGCGTGTTTCGTGGACCGAAAGCTAAAAGACACGCGGAAGCCAATACAGGAATGCAGCACGAAACAATAGCTCTCGAGAGTTTACGAGGCCAGTAGACAAAATGGCGGAGGTATAGTAACACGCGATGTTTTTGACTGTCCCATTAAAATAACAAATCCCTTATTCACCAGTTCGTCCATTCATCCATTAGTCCAGTTGTTGCAGCATGAGAATTCATTTCGTCGAAACTCGAGGCGTGTACTATTATTAACTGCACTTGAGAAATAGTAGAGCTTGCCCCTCTACGGACACTCTTGACATATTGGCGTAAGATTCATGGAGGAGTAATCGAGCGGAAATGTCGATTTCACACGTTTCAACGGAAGACACTAGATTCCCGTCTATTACGCGTAAGGATTTCACGTTGAAGGCTGTCCGCTTCCCGACGGCCATTATACATTCTGATGGTTTCTCTATTCAGCTGCGACGCCGTTGACTCGCTCGCACGCTTGCTCGTTGTCCCCCTCGGACTCGGCCGTTCAGTCCTACGCAGTCCTACGGCTGACTTCACTGTTGACAGTCACGCCAGCCAACTTCACTCTGTAGTTCTTTCCAGTATTCGTTTCCTTGTACGTATTTACTATTCGGCTTCCAATAATCTCGTATTCCTAACTCGTGCCATGAACGTTTCCTTCGAGCAATGACAATCTCTTATGGCTATTGGCTTTGCATTACGTGATTCTTTCAAAGACATCAAGCACAACGAGTCAGTTGTGTAGCATCGAGTGAATCGAGTTCCTGTCCTCTGTCACTCCGTTTACATTATTATGGACACACGTACATGTATATCCGTATACTTTTATGGGGATCGTGCTTCGTCCAAATAAAATATTTCGAGACAAGATGGACACGGTCGTACTGTTACTTCTTAGAAGTCAAATTATAGAGGAGCATGAGTTTTTTACATATTTTTTTTTCGTTTCGCCGTACCATGCTTTTATCGCGCCACGAAGAAGATTCGTCAGACTTAATACAGGGATGATTGTTCATTGTTCCAGGCAAAGAGCCGACAAAGCTTTGACGCGATAGAATCGAATAAAAAATATTTCGAATCAAGCCGTACCCGAGACACATGGTGTCATGGTATATTTAATTAAATTTTTATTAGTTTGAAAACCTCTGCCATTTAGTCGACTGGAATAACGCTTTCGTGGTCCTTTATTTTCTGTATGCATTTCATTATACTTATTTACATTTTCTCCCCCGTGATTTTCCTTTTCTTTCTCTTAGCGTTGCTTGTAGTTTCCATTGTTGTTCCACGGTTACTATTTGCGAGTGACGAAAGAAAAGCCTGATCGATGACAGTTCCTCACGAAAATAGAATCTCCCTCTTTCTCTTCCATTCTCTCCTATGGCTATTCTGGAGATAATTAGAGTGACAAGTTTCACCCAGGATAACACCAACTCTCGAAGGTACTATCCGATTGTTTTCGGGTTTCTAGAGCACTCGGACGTTTTAAGGGGCCAGTAACCTTTCAGCCCTGCGTCATGGGATACGTGTCCGCTCGATATCTGAAAACAGCTTTTAGGTCGCGCTCAAGACTCAACGCGAAGACATGACAAAGTAATATCCATAAATAATGAAATACTGTTTTTACAAAAATATTCAAAATGGCGGGAAAAGCATATTTCAAACTTTCATTCTTCTTCATTTTTCCTTTTCAACTGTCGCCTGATATTCTGTTTCCTGGTCTCAAGAATTTTCAAAAAAAAATAAGTCATTCAATATCACCCATTTTCATTCGCTTCTATCTACACTATGATTCATAAAGTTTTACATTAGCCTACGCCAATGTTTCTTGAGGGCTCCGCGTTGTCGCGACTCGCAAGTCGCGAGAGCACAAGGGAAACAGGAGTGTACTTCACGGGCGACCAAACTATTGATAGCAACACCAACACGACTCTTTGAAAAATGTCTTTCTCAGTCGAGGTACTCGTGCGACACGCACTCCTGGACTTCGTAGAGTCTGCCCGCGTACGTACCTATGTATATACTTCCTTAGTCGCTCCCCGCACGGACACTCAGTGTGACTGCATTTTTTTTCCCCCACTTTTGCCATCTCACTAGAACAACTCGACACCAGAGTGACGAAGTTGGAGGTAATTTTGTATGGTCTGATATTAATTTTTTTGCACCATTCAGTCTGATGCTCGCTAATGGGAGAAACCTGAAGGATTAATTTATTCGTGCCTGATTGGCAAATTATAACTTTGCCGTCTGACAGGGTCGTAGGACCTGAGACTGCTTTGGTTTTCAAGAAAAATATCCCAGAGTCTATTCGTTTCTCTCTAATTACTTCACGAGGGTGAAACTCACTGACGACAATTCGGGGCAACCCGACAGCCTTGCTTATTGGCCGTTAACGATGACGCGAGGTTTTTATTACAGCAGGCCTGCCAACTTCCAAGGGACCAATCCTCTCGCATCGATCCTATCCCTCGAGAATTTCTTAATATATATATTCTCCATATATTCCAGGGGAATTGTAGTTTCCACAAGATTTCACCAACACTCGTCCAAATCTCAAAAACGTTTGCTTATGACAAACCCCATTTTATAAGTACCGACATAGTTTTCACAGTAAGGCGGCTCTCTGTCAGAAACTTCTTATCAGAAAATATTTCTCTAGAAAAAAGAAGTTTCGAATTCTCATCTTTTTAGTTCCTTTCTCGGCCTCGTCCATGTCGAGATTCAAGCTCGAACCGCGTCCTAGTTTCTCGTCTCCTTGATTTAATCCAATTTTACGTGAATTACATTGAACGAGTCACGGAGGCAACAGTGATGCATCGTGTAGCGTGGTTGTTGGAAAATCAACTTTAACGTGTATTTATAAAGTGGCCGCAGCTGTAACCTGCGTCCAAGATTAGATAACGGTCGTGAAGTCCCGTTTGCGGAAGATCCTTCACGACTCCAGAGGATAATCGTTGTTTGTGTCCATAGGACGATCCTTGCCACATGGCAGAAAGAGGGGTGGCTAGCGTCACTTTAGAAACGAACCCCTTACGCAGTTGGGCCCCAAGTATTCAACGACACTTCCAAAGATACTTTAAACAAGACCTTCGACAGACTTCAGGAACTCAGTGGGAAAAGAAAAGGAAAAGGAAAATTGTTAAAAAGTGAGAAAACCCGAAAAAAGAGAAAACAAGAGTGAGAGCCTCGTTACGCAATTAATCCCAAGTGAATCCTCGAGAAGTCTCGTTCGTTTCCGCATCGAACGATGCAAAAGTAAATATGTAAAGGAGTAAATATGGGAAGCATCGACTGAGGAAGTAACAATGAAAAGAGCGTGGCCACGTGCTGGCCAGATGTCAGTGAAGTCCGTGTTATTTTGTTTATTCCTAAGGAGAAGAGATATCCATGAATATTTCATCCAGCACTCGGTACGTACCGGGTGCACGTATTTCAAACGGATTTGCCAGAACGTGCTTTTTTCACGGTTCTTTATAGCCCGCAGAGTACGGACTCGGAAATAAGTAAGTAACGCATCCGGGTGCGACCCCCTATATACCCTTGCTATACCTATATTATCTTACGTTAATAGGGCCTCGGCATTGGCGTAGACCATAACAATGGAACTGGCCGTGTGCAACATGTGTTGCCGTCGCTTGCTTCGTTGCTGGGTCCGCTCGAGTCGTACACAAATGCGAGAAGCAAGCGTGGACTGGTGAATGGGCCAGACTGGGACTGGAGTAGCTCTAGAGGGACCAGCTGCGTGGGACTTCTCTAGAACGCCTCTTGGATTTCATTGGCTTACCCATTGTTAAAAAAATTATTGCGATGCATACGCCAATGAAATATTTATTGCTGTCCCAGCACAGCTTCTCTCGCTTATTTGTACAAATATAAGCACGAAGGTACATTGCTTTTTCTTAAATATACTTCAATAAATTGTATTATAAAATGCTCGTTAAGTTCACTGCGAGCCCTCTTTATGTAATTCATATTCCTACAGTCCGGACCAGCACTGCACTAATTACAAGGTTTTCACGCAGATGGAGTATTCCGACTATATATTAAAAAACTAACGGAGGCATCCAACGAGAATGGCGACCAATCCTCTTCCTTAGCGAGGTCTTCGTCGACGATCCAGTCCCTTTCTAGCCTCTTATTAACCTAAACTATCTATGACTATACAGCCGTAGCTAATACTACTCGAGTATAGTCAGTAACGGAATGCATTATGCCCATTGTAATACGTGCTACGGTCTACAGTAACCACTGTAACGGGCTATTTCGTTCTACTAGATCAGAATCGATAGCGTGCTGGATTGTAGATTTGCCATTTCTCGAATTTACTAATATACTTTTCCAATGCTATTTCATTAACGTGAATACAGTCGCTTTGACTTTCAAAATCATTTTCATAATACGCTCAGAACGCAGTGCCGACCATGTTACGTATTATCCACGACGCAGGGGACTCTCGATAATTCAACGGAACAGGGCGAAAAAAATCAATAGTACATCCACCCCTGTGCAGGGCCTTAGCTCATATACGGAAGAGTCTTTTATATGAATAGGGCACAGGAAGCAGTCGGATTGTCTAATGTGACGATAACGCTGAGAAGATACGTCCTATTACGTAGTATAGATCTTTGATATAAACTTATTATCGACTCGTCGAGACGATATAGTGTGATTGATTATCGATATTACTTTAGATTATTAAAATTAATAAAACTATTGAGACTCCATAGGGGAATGTTGTCCGAGACGGTATACCGAATAGGTAAGATTTATGCCGTCTCAGATATCTCTCTACCGACTATTTAAATTCTACGAATTCACGTTATTCGTATTCTTATTAATGACGTAGATATTTTTTTCCTTATCCCGACGCCATATTATTTTTCCTTCAAGTTTCATTGCCGTGAGGCGAATGTAGAAAATTTAAACTGAAAATACGTTAGACAAGCATTTCGACTGTTTTATTCACATTGACGATGCAAAAAAATGTATAATGTGCCATTGCTTCAAATTCAATTTGAAATTATCTCGGTTTTTTTTTTCTGCGGGCAGGAAATCAAATGATAACAATAATGGCACATCCTGCCTTCTTTGATAAGTAAGTTTGTGGTATTGTAAAAATTTGATATTCTTAAATAATTTTTTCTCTAATCTTTGCTCTTCGCTGCTAAATCCGATGGGAATTTCTGTTTTGTCATTTTTGTCCTTTTCACGCGAGTGAAAGCTTCGCGGATGCAACGGGGCGACGCGTTCACCGATATACAAAATATATGTATATTATACAATCGCTCGTCCACGCATACACATATTTATCAAACTATTAAAAAGAAAGTCCCGATGAAACTTCTTTATGAAATTATATTGAACGACCTTATTGATCTCGGCCTGCTTTCGACATATCATAATGTACAGCCTCATCGAACTAAAATGGCCTCTACGTACATTATGCATATCAATATTAATTTCAGTACTAAGAAATATGTAATAAGACACTACTACTCACGGTGGATACTAAATCCTATCGCCACTTCCATAAATACGATAACATTCATTGTTTCATTGCGCAATGTCCTACGAGGATGCTTTTACAATCATAAAGATGAAGTTGACAATGGAAACAAGATTAGATTACGAATAAAATTTACGGATTCTTAGAAATTAAAAAAAAGTTTGATAGTCAATCGTGCGAGGTATTTTGTAAATTAAGACTCATTCGTATCCGGAAGCATGAAACATCGATTTATCACACCGGTTTGGCAAGCATCCCGTTATCATGTATTAAAGTCTGTTTGATTTTCGTATCTGTCTTGAATACCGACTGTTACCTATACATAGTTATGTATTCTATATACACACAGTTAGTTGATATAATCATGCTTATATTTATTTTTAATTGTATCAGCTATCACGGAAGATCAAATCATTAATTTTGATTTGTCAAAGGTTCGGGAATGTCTGATGTTGAAAGTGTATGATGATAAACTAAGAGTAAAAGACTGAAGAATAAAAGAATATTTCATAATTAACAAAATTCATATGTTCCCACGGTTACGCCCATTTTTGTCTAATAAGCCTTTCGCGCCGAGTGTCTTGATATGAATTAGTGCTGTCAATACGATGTGATCTATTTGCTAGCATTATAATGTATTAATACAGACAAGCAAGTAGGCGTGATCTGGCCGATACTACTTTCTGAATTGGTCAAGTATCACTATTCAAGATAAGATAATATTATGTGGTTCTATATGGCTAATATATAGTCCGAATAATTAAGCGGCGACGGCGTAGGATTATTTATTGTGGATCAAGTATATTACTCTCTTCTCTTGGATTGTCTGCCATCCTGGACATCGATTCCAAGCTGACTTGCTCTTTGTTTTCGATTATCCTTGCTGTCACCGAACATCGTCCCTTTGTCAATTATTCTTTGCATAATTTCATACGAAATATGCTAAACAGACAATAGGCTGAGGTTTGCAATCCCAGGCAACAGAAAAGAATACAGCATTGCAATAGTGCCTAATGTCAACACGGAATCCTATGATATAAAAGGGAATACAAGAGATACTGAAATTCATCGAATAGAGTAGTATCCAGTAGAATTTGTTTGTTTATTAATTGTAAGGTAGCGATTTAACGTGGGTCAAAGATGTGACAGGCGCAGAGCGAGCGTCGTTCACAACATAAAACATAGAGTGTAGAACTCAAATCCTGTCAGACAAGCTACACTATAAAAATTCAAGTAATTCTGATTACCTGTCTAGTCGATTCGTTCCCTTAGTTCTTCATGTAATCCGCGCACGGTTGGTATTTATTAATTAAGCACGTAGCACATTTGAACACACAATTAATCACATGGGTCGCCTGCGGAGAAAACTAAATGCATCACGAGCGAACTGACAGCTAGCACGGGCTATTCATTATTGGAAAATCTCTCCCGCAAGCTGCTGCTGCTGTTGCTCTTGCTGCTCTTGGTAGTCTTGCTGCTGCTCTTGCGCAGCCGGCCTCTGATGCCACCGATACTACCGACTTTTCTCCCTTCTGCCCTTTCCAGCTATCCGCCACCATTTCTACCACCTCCTAGCCTTGTAGCTTCATTCGTTTATCGGAAGAGTGCGCCACTTTGATTTTCCCTGACGTTTCTTCAAATTTGTTTACGAACTGTCATTATAATACCTAATAATTGTTTCAACAACCGTAATTGTTAGTGTTTTGTTTGATGACACACATATTACATTGCAATATCTATTCTCTTTTAGATCCATTTAATATCATCGTGACTACGTAATCCTTACTGTTTATTGTCTAATCGTACGTACGGACTTGGATCGACTGAAGTTCGAACGTAATTTCTCGAAAATCTGACTCAGTTACGCAAAGTATACAGATTCAGATTTTTAACGGACAATTTAAATAGCGCGAGGTTTACTCTGCTATTTGCTCCAATTACACTATGAACTTCATATAGATGTGATGGATTTCTCTGATATGCTTTCGTATTTCGCATTTCGTTCGCTAGTGTTTGCTAGTGTTCTGTAAAAGTATAATCCTGACGACCTCATCGTACGCCATCTAAAGCGGCTGTATCTCGTGGAAGTAGACAACCTCACGGAGGTTGGCTGAAGTTTCGCAAAGTGGAATTCACTTCGAAATTCGAGATAATTTTCTCAAGCTCGGTCCCGGGTAATGTAAGTCTCCGTATTGGAATTAACGAGTTAATTTCGAAGTAAATTCGATTGTGGCGTTGCTTGGTGCTAGTTGCTGTTACTTAGAAAAAATACTGTGTGCTGTAGAAATTCGAGATCATGGCGGTACCCACGGCCGGTGTAGGTGAGTATTATATTTTCACTTTTAATATTCGTACTTTAAATATTCTTCAATAGCTACACGATTTGCATCCCATGACAACTTGTCTAGGTTTCCACAGTTTTCGTAATTCTTCCTCCTTGAAAAAAAATGGTTAATTGACAGATCGGTCGTTTAACACTTAATCCGTCATATTTTCCAAATTATTTTTGACCAACAATTAAAAATGTATTCGATTGTTTTCACGAAAGATTGGTTACTGTCAATATGTTTCAATTCTTTAATCCGAATCATACGGAACACCATATAGCAAAATGCTACGTATTTCAGTAACGCGTAAAATGGGCAAGGTTACTCTGAAGTTGAGGAGCTAGCCTCCTGGATCTCCTAAAGTTGTAAATTTATCTTAAACTTTTTTTATGATTAGTTGTTCCTCGAAACTTTCGTTTGCTGGAGGAACTGGAACAAGGTCAAAAGGGTGTTGGCGATGGTACTATTAGTTGGGGTTTAGAAAATGATGATGATATGACCCTTACACATTGGACTGGAATGATTATTGGGCCACCTAGGGTGAGTACTTTGCATGTTTTTGTTTTGTTTTGCAAAAGTATGATCAGAAGTTTGAAGCATGGAGTATTCTGTGGTACAATATTATTCTTTCAGACACCATACGAAAATAGAATGTACAGTTTGAAAATTGACTGTGGTCAAAGATATCCAGACGATGCTCCCAATGTAAGATTTTTAAGCAGAATCAATATGAACTGTATCAACAGTACTACTGGAGCAGTAAGCATAATAATCTGAAATATTACACATTGAAAGCAAGATATTTTTAATAAATACCTGCATTTTTATGAATTAGGTGGATAATCGCAGTGTACCAGTGCTTGCTAAGTGGCAAAGAGAATACACAATTAAGACAGTGCTGCAGGAACTCCGTCGCTTGATGACACTCAAGGAAAATATGAAACTTTCTCAGCCCCCCGAGGGCAGTACTTTTTAGCCTAAACACACATAAACCTATTACCTCTTCATTTATGCGGTAGCACGAAGCAAGACCTTATTAAGGTACCAAATAATATTGCACAGGTGCCCAATGAAGAAGTATGTTAACAAATGTTCACCTTTGCAAATAAAAAGATGAAAGGTGAAAAATGCTTGGAGGATCGAACCCGTATCTTAAGTTGGGAGAGAACCGTATCACAAGGGCCATTAGACGAATCTTAGAAAAACTGAATGTCAGTTAAAAATTTGGGACTTTATAACTAAATTTATTAACAAAAGATGAAACACTTATCTTTTAAATATCACGTTCAGTTAGTATATCAAAGAACAAAGTGTTTGCGACATTTCAAAGTCTGAAGAAACACACTATTATTATTAATAATTTCCAAAAATACCGGTTCGACTCCCCAAACTCTAAAAAATTATAAAGAAGTCATATTTTGAACGTAAAAAAAACTGGAGACACGGACTGTGTAATAAAAGAAATAATCAATAAGAACAACTTATGCCTTTGACATTTTTTAAATCGAACTAATAATGTCTGTGTCGTGTACCAGTCTATTCTTCTTCCGTCTATGCACAGGTGCCATTTCAAAATTCACGGCAGTATCTCAACTTTTCTTAAAAAGTTTCAAAACTTTTACAACAGTAAGAGCAGATCTTTATTCTCTCCAACGTCACACTCTTAAATGATTTTAGTTTCGAGACGATCTGACGCGCATTGTGCAGTCATTTTACAATAAAGTAAAAAAATACAAATTTTGTGACTGTAGAGGCATTGCCCAACAATGGAAGAGTCCCACTCCCCGCAAATCTGTGCTTAATACTGGATAAATATTTACATTTAATGTGAAGTACAACTTTTACATAAAAACGATTTAATGTGTATCCAGTTAAGGCGTTTCTCCTAAAAATCGGTACATCGACGCTGAAACATGACGAGAAAGAAAATAAAAAATAGAAGATAAATTGCGTACTAGAAAACATTTATTTCAGTAGCTTCATTTATCATAGATTCGAGTCTTCTTGCAACGACGCGTCTCGATGTTGCGATAATTATAAGGACAATCGCAATGACTAATACTCGACGTTTTGTGAATTTGTTATGATCCGCTATAGACGTATCGACGATAAATAATCTATTACTCGTAATTCAAAGAAAGACACTTTCCCAAATACACAAGTAGCTTTTTAATCATTAAGTAATCAGGATTATTGTTACCTGCAACACACACCGTTACTATTAGTAATTTTATCCAAATATCAATTTTGTATATTTAATTTCTCTTTTTTTCACTCTACATTTGACCTTCTCGTACGGAAAAGAATTAATCGCATTTTTCACTTCCTCTTGTGTCATAATGGGTCCTAACGGTGGCGAAAATGAATAAAATAAAACGAATAATGAAAAATATAGATTAAAGGTATAACTAAATAAATTAGTCGAAACGTATAGTACAATCGCTTGAATTTTTTGACTATGCAGTGCAGGATATAGACACATCGTACTAACGGGAATACGTATCGAATCATTAGAATAACGCATTGTTCCTAAATGATTTTTCCACGTTTACTAAAAATTTGTGAAATTTATAAAAGAGCGCATTGGAGCTATCGTACTACATCCCTCCTTACCAGCTTCGCATTTCGATTAGTGCATTAGATCACATCCACTATCTCTAATAGTATAATTTAATGATTGTCGCTAAAGATTCAAATAATGATGGCTCGCGATCGATGAAGTCAAGCTTCGGAAGAATAAAGTCATTTCTTTAGGAAGTGTCATTGACTTTATTAAGTAACCCAAACTTACTCTTCCTTGCCTTCAAAAGTAGTACTGCAGAACCTGATTTTTCAATTGAAAAAAAAAGGAGTCAAAAGTGTAAGGTATATGCACATTAACTAAGTTTAACGATTTATTTTGATAAGACAATGATGCCATTGCTTGCGTTTATGTACATTGTACAGGTTAATTGATCTGGTATCGATGACAATCGTACGTCAGCGGCTGGTTCGAGAACGCGTAATGGCAGCCGTGCAAATGACGATGGAGTAGCCGTTAATCTTGTCAACTGTGCCTCAATTGACATTGTTTAAATTAAAAAACTACATTTTGTTTCCGGGCGGCTATCGTGATTCATACAATTTCAATGAGCTAACGTTTTAATTGATTTACGTCGCAAACTTTGACTACTTCTTTGGGACATAAACAATCTTCGTAGTTTTCAGAGTGCTGAACTTATGTCTCTTCATGTAGTAAACGACCGACAATAGAATAGAGAATATTCCAATAACCTATAATAAAAGAAACAAGGATTGATTACAACGTTAAGGGATTATGTAGTTGTGATTGCAAGTCATACCTTAATGGCCATTCGCTTCCTTGTGTCGAATTCAGGGTTTGCCGTCCACGTCAGGAATTGAGTGACATCCTTAGCAATCTGGGATGCCGTTGCTGGAGTGCCATCCTCGAATTCTAGGACTTCATCATAAATGACCTGCGCCATACCGATAGCACCACCTGGGAAGTATGGGTTGAAATACTGGCCATCCCTGATAGGAACACCAGCTGGTGGATCGCAGTATCCAGTCAGCAGCGAAAATACGTAATTCTTAAAGAGAGAAAAAATATATAACGCATAAAATTTGATTCAACAATAAAAACTGACATCTAGAATTACAGTGACAGACCTCGCCGTTGTGCCTGGCATTCACGATATAAGTTAGATCTGGTGGGTAAGCACCATTGTTAGCAGCTCGAGCAGCTTCTTCGTTGGGATACGGAGACGGAACGTGATCGGAAGGCTTTCCGGGCCGCATGAAATATTCACCCTCCTCATTGGGGCCATCTCGTATCTGTTATCATAAAAAATTATAAATTTAATTAATCCATATAGTTTTGCCAGTGCGCTTACTATTTACGAAATAGCAAAAACTTGAAACCAACCATGACTTCTTCTGCGAGGGCCTTTACTTCATCTTCAGTGTGCGTCACGTTAATGAGTTCGCGATACGCGACATACTGAAGGCTGTGGCACGCTGAACACACATTTTTATAGACTTCCCATCCTCGTCGCATGCTATAAAATTGATTATTTGAGATTAGATATCATTTTTGAAGTATATTCTTGATGAATCTTAAGAGAAAATTTTACCTAGCATGATCGTAGGCATTGAATAAACCATAAAAGGTCCAGGCATAGTTGGGAGGATGCGCTATCAAATCGGTTGCTTTGACAGAGTTATCCAAAGCATAGATCAAAGTTCCGATACCTCCAGCTGCTAATCCAACACACGTTGCAAGCTGAAATATGTAGATACCAGATACTGGCATGTTGAACTACACTGTTATTATCTTAAATATACGTATTGTTGCAGTTGTAACTTACTACCAGAAAATGATGAACGTGGAAGTAAGGAATAGGGATAGGGCAATGGATCTGCGAATAGTGAGTATATCTGAAACACCTACCGCTTTTCTACCCCTGGACCAATCTCTCACTGTAGAGAAGTTGTTAACCTGAAACATTTATAATATTATACTATATATATATTTTACATACAGACTACTAGCATGATTACTCTCTTAATATACAACAAATATGGTAAATCAGTTATCAGGGATATAAGGAGGAAACTGATATGACATTTCTCACAACTGTTAAATGACAATGACTGGAAAACTGTTAAAAAAAATCTGATCAATTACGCAACGGTAGTTCGAAAAAATCGTGAGTTATCAATTCATATCCCTTCAATGTTCAGGCATGTCTGATAATGGCAGCATCACAACTTTCAGTACGGATTGGTATTACATAACATGTATGAACTAGGTGATTAAAGTTCCTAATAAATATGTAAAATAAATTTCCAGATACAAGAGAAAGAAGTTATAAGTCTTCAAGAAAAACGCAGCAGACGATATAAAAGAATAAACGTAAGATAGCAGCCGACAAGATGGGTCGTTGCATGTACCCTTTGGAAGGACTCAGACAGGTCAATTTAAATTTAACACAAAGAATGTTATATGGAGCTCGAATTTTTGGAAATGATTAGATGGCATTCAAACAGTACAAAATTATGTGACGATAACCTACCTGATTTAACAGGGTACTAGTATTTGGTTTAAGAAGACCCGATCCACAAATCCGTCCTAACGAAGCCGCCATGTTGGCCAGAGGTGCAGTCTGCAAGAAACCTTAGTCAGTCTAGTTACCATTCTTATGTCATATCAGGAAAAGCGAACACTTGCTAAACTACCGGCTAAAATATAATGACTTAATTATGCTTTTTTCTTACGTAGCTCGCCACTCGTTAATACCGGAAGAAGTATCACAGTCTGTGAAGATTTGGGAACATCAACTCCCCGGCAGTGTAGCCAATGACCAAAACTTACCGTAAGACTCCAGTCATCCAGTACATATTTAAAATCGGAGTCCACTCTTGTTTAATTCTTAAATTAATCCCTGTTATGATTACCTACAAGATTAATTAATCCAGACTAATTTGTCAATAGTTTTATTGAGTTATTAACAATAGATATACAGACTGTGTATAAAACTCTAGTGAGCATTATTCTTTATTGCGTACTTGATGCATAGAATCGCGGTTCGATTCATATTATGTGAAATTAGTTCAAAATTTACGTAAGTACGGAAGCAGCATTAAATAATAGAAAAACATCGTTAAGTAATTACCTTTATTATTAAAAATATAAGTACATTTGTAGATTCGAAGGAGAGCAGAGTTGCATATTTCTTCAGCGTAGTCCTGCCAAGGCGTGGCGCATGCGCTGTTTTGGTTGGTAGACTTGCTAGTAGATCGCCAAGTGCTGCCGAGCATTGGTGTCAGCTGGTGATCTCGTCAGATGGTGTCGCGAATCCTATAATATCGCATCAATCGTCGTGCGGAGGAAAGAGGTTCAAGATGAGCACTGGAATGCCGGAATTAGGCTCGAAGATCAGCCTTATATCGAAGGCCGACATTCGTTATGAGGGACGTCTCTTCACCGTCGATCCTCAGGAATGTACAATCGCTTTGGCCAATGGTGAGTCTTAATCAAGATGGACACCGAATTCTGCATCGGCTCGCATTGCGGCTTCTCTTCTTTATTCCGACACTTCGATTTCCTAGCGTTTATCGTTTATTCAATTTCATTCTATCGACCAATTCTGCTTCTATTAATCCTTTGATAAACCTGGTGAATTATTTGAAGTCTTTTTCTATATTGAGCGACGGAATGACTCTTTCTTTCAGTAAAACTTGCGTACAAAACAACCGGGGTCACCCGAACCAAAGACCGCTTCTGTAACGGCTGTTTGCGCGTCTTTCGTTGCTCTGGAAATATCATTGAACAGCGTGATTTTTGGACTTGAAATTAATATGCTGTATACTTAAAATTTAATAGCAATATTTCCTAACTTCCTAACAACAATTTACGCGCGAACGAAAACGATCCATTGACTTTCCCACTGAAGCCGCGTCATTGGTTTCATCTTGGAAAGTGCGTTATTTGTTTAACGCTAGGAATAATGCATGTAGAGAATTTGACAAATTTTTGTACTCCAAACCGGTCATTTATTTACCTTTGAAGAGTTTTTGAGGATCTTCAAATTTTTTTGTAGTTATATGTGCATATGCGTATGATCGCGAGTAGTACCAATGTTTATGAAATTTGTTAATTTATTATTTGGCTTTTTTTAGTAACAAAGTATCTTAATTGAGATTAATTTTCTTTCCCATGACTGATACTTAAATGTATTCAATGTAGTATATTTATTCCATCCTAAGTCTTGTTTACTAGTTTCTTATGTCCTTAGCACCTTGAAATGACCGTTTCAAGTTAATTTCTCTTGATGATCTTTTCAAATAAGTATTAGTTTAGGGAGTAAATTACTAACTGTGGCATTGATATTCCAAATATGATTTTTTATATAAATTTAAATAGTTTAAAATTCAATATTATAAATTCAACTAAAGATTGATGATAAGATTTTTAAACATTCATTATTGCTGCAATATGTTTACAATTAATAAATTTTATATTATATACTTTGGATAAATATTTAATATATTATCTGTTCCAGTGCGCTCCTTCGGGACAGAAGATCGAGAGACAAAGTTTCAAGTAGCACCACAGAATCAGGTCTACGAATATATTCTCTTCAGGGGCTCAGACATAAAGGACATCAGGGTGGTCAACAATGTCAGCTCCATTCCTAATGATCCAGCTATTGTGCAGGTAGTTTTTTTTACTTGTGCATTAAATTCATTAATGTCAAGAGACAGTTTTTAATGCCATAAACAAAAATATTGTGCAGATGACAGTGCAGCCAACCATGGGCCAGCAATCATACCAGCCTCAACCTGGCTACGGACATCCGATGATGGGTCAGATGGGCCCGATGGGTGGCCAGTATGGTGCTCCGTATGGTATGATGGGTGCTATGGGCCCGGTAATGGGTATGCCAACCGCTGCACGTGATCCCCATGGACCCATGAATAAACAGCCAAGTGAGTTGGGCTTGGGCCCTGCCGAACCCAACGCCATCTCTATCCCAAACTCACTACCGACGGCCAACGTCGACCCATTACCAAAAGACCAATCTCTGGAAGATGGTAAACTGTTTTTGCTATAAAATATCCCTTGCCAATGCTTGCTGCTTCTTCTCTGCTACTACTTGGGTAACGCTTGATCTCCGTATATCTAATAGACACCTGCGTGATTTCATATTGCTACTAGTAATCGAACGCTCTTGTTTATGATGGCAGCTGTTGGATTTCGATAATAGTGCAAAGATACTCCGCTTGGTGCGCTTTATCCAGTTGCAGTTTTCTATCGACTCCGTAAAAAACTTGCATGCACTTTGAAACCTGCTTATAAAATCTTTTGCATTGTTTCCTTAGTTTTTTATCCTGTTTTCTATGCAAACTGAAGAGTACTCTATCATTCCTTTCCCAAACCCTATTTTCAGTTATGAGATTCAAGATCTCAAGCCATACTGAGAAAGCACATCTTATGTTTCGATTAAATTTTTTTGCTTCACGTAAAATGCCCTACTCCAAAAAAATGCATCCTGACTTAGTGCACGAAAAGCAAATATTTTCTACTTCAATAAATTCCATATAGACTTTGCTTTTCCTTTGAAGCTATATAAAGCATGATGCAATAATACATAACAAAATAGCAAGAACAGTTGGTGATGTGCATAGTCGATAGTTTTGTGTCGATGATTTGCCTTTGATATACAGGGTATACCACATCATACAGGTATCTGCCAGAGGGTGAATTTCCAGTGAGAGACTGATATTCTTTCATAAATATTATCTATTCAGATTCTTACGAAGAATTCATGAATCTGAAGGATATTGAGATATGGTATACTCTGTACTTCTATATAAATACAGCATTCAATATACAGTTCCTTAAACTACACAATAATCTGCGATTGAAGGTCTTCCTCTGGAATCCCTTTAACAAAATTAATGAAAGAAAATGGTAGAAACGTTTACTATACTCAATTGCTGCTACATTCGTTTTTCGCTTTATTGCGAGACGGCGAATAGCATCCTGGAACTTCTTTCTTTGGCATTGTAGGTGTTTTCGATTTAATAAGCGGTGGATCGCGTTCCACGACCCCGACTTCATCCTTATTGACTAGAAAGAGTCCTACGATGGATCAAGGAATTCAGGTAGGCCATCAGCAACAACAACAGCAACAACAACAACAACATCAACAGCAGCAGCAACAACAGCAAACTAATCCCAACATCATAGGAAAACACAACGACAAACCGAGCGTACGAGCCGTCCAGCCTCCGCATCGCGATCGGGAAAAGTATGATACGATTTTTTGGAAAACATTTACAATTTAAAACGTCACTGGCTTACGAAGAATATGTTAAAATATTGCACGATATCTTTCAGTCATGGAAGTGGACGAACTGGAAGTGGTATGTCGCAGTACAGCGAAGGAAAGCGTGATGTAATGAAGCATGATGGTCATCTTCAAGGTCCAGGTCATATTCATCCACCTCATGGACAAAATGGCCGTGGAAATCGCGGCGGATGGATTGGCCGTGGAAACATGCGTGGTAGAGGGCGAGGTCGCGGTGGTTTTCGGCCCAATCAACCGGGTAATGCTAATATCAAACCCAAGAACACACTTAAGTTCGATAACGACTATGACTTTGAACAAGCCAACACTGAATTTGAGGAGTTGAGGTAGGTGTCAAATGTGAAATTAATTTAATATTACATGCTTTATTGAAAGTGTAGCATGGACTATGACGGGTATGTTTCATATCAGTTGAAACGACTAATGCGTGTTCCATGCAATATTAACGAAGTACGTTATTAAAGTCTTCGCGTTACAATTATACGTAAAAGACTTACGCGTCGTATCGACATTATCTTTTAATTAACGTGGCGATATAGCTTCAAGGAAATGGATTCTTTGTGATTCTTGTCATTGTATCTCAGATCTCAATTGGCGAAGACGAAAATCGATGCTGGAACGGAAAACGAGAAGAAGGATGACAGTGGCAACGAGACCGGAGCCGGCGAAGGCGAACCAGAGGAGGAACCGGAAGTCGTTCACTACGACAAATCCAAATCCTTCTTCGACAACATAAGCTGCGAAGCCGTCGAGAGGAGTAAAGGGTCAGTATCAATGAATATCATTGGGCTTTTATCTTTATTACATTCATGTGTATCCACGTGTTTACTATACGCGGCCTGTTATGTAAGTAAGGCTAAGTCCGGGAATAGCGAAAAACTATTACATTCTCAACTCCGGCAGAAGATCCCAACGTACGGACTGGAGGACCGAGCGCAAACTGAATTCCGAGACGTTCGGTGTGGCTTCGACGAGACGCGGCGGTTTCCGTGGCCGTGGTTATTACAATCGCGGAATGGGTGGGATGTACCGAGCTGGCGGAGGTGGTGCTGGAAGCGGTGGTGGTTTCCGTGGTGGTTATCGAGGTAACAGAGGTGGAAATCGCAAACCCGCCAATCAGATCCAGAACAATCCAGCCAGCCAGAATCGTACCAGCAGCAACGAGCAGCCGACATCGTCCCAGCCGCAACAACAGAACAATCGCTTGGTAACCGGAACTGCGTAAACGCGTCTGGTGCAGCTTGCGATTACTACTACTACTAAATAAGTATTTACTAGCGAGTAAGATTTTTACAATACGTGCTCTGCTGCCCTTGGACTGATACGAATTCGAGTCTGGCAATCGTTAGTTGTGTAGTGGTCTTACGGATTTAATTCTAGATTATCCTACACAGGATTGCGTTCGCTGTGGATTGAGGCAGGCCTGACGTACATGCGGTTTAGTCGCAAGACGCAAGATATGCGTCGCGCGAGAGGACTCTACTGGCGCACAGGACTCCATATCGACGCGACACTTCCCAATCCCAAATATTCGCGATTCGCGGTTCGTTGCAGGATCAATCGTGATCGTTGATACTCGATATCTAAAAGAGAAACCCGTTTCCCCGGCATCTCGCAAGGACGAGCACCGCATCGTCGACATCCTCTGTACCTGGGGAACTCGTGAATTATTATACTTCATCCTCTTGCTTTCTTTTATTTTTTTTTTTTTTTTATATTTTGCTTTCTACCTCACGTGTAGTCTGTCTATTGAGACACGGAGACTGTCTGCCGGGGAGGTCTTCTTCAGGGACATTTTCTTTTTCTTTTTTCTACGAAACGCGATAATCCCCCACGGCAGAGAACATGCGTGATCGTTCTTGCGAAGATCCTTTGATATGCTGGGACGTAGTTTTTTTTAGTGGCTAATAATCAGACTTGAATATACCGGGGACACGGTGGTTCTTTACTTTTTTTTTTTGTAAATTTCTTTTTTTTTCTCCTTATATCGGTCTTCCTCATAGTCGCAATCTCGACAGAGGAAGTATGGCGCATCCGGCCTTTCGCGAAGCATGGCAAAATATATAATATACGGAAAGGAAGTTTTAACGATGGTGGCCCCGATGCTGGACATTTTGGTGTTGTTGGATTGTATCCGCGTGACGGAAGTGAACGGAATATTTTATCGCGACGGTTTTCGCGAATGCCGGATGACGATAGGCTAACGGGTGGCGTTTCGCGAAATAAATATTTAGTATACGGCGAATGTTACGTGCACGAAAGACGGTTTAAGATTGTAAAGAAAAAAAAAAAAAGGAGAAGATGACCATGTAGAGAAAAAAATGAAAAAAAAAAACAAAGAAAAAATATAATAGAGGTTAGAATTCTCGTGAAACCTATGCGGAGTTTGACGCAACTTTGTGCGCGAGCTAAGAGCCCCAGAACTCCGGGATGGATTTGATTATAAATATTGTAATACCACGTCTCGGGTCACGTGGTAAAATAATTAATAATATCGAACGCGCGAGTATTGGCGCTTAACAATTTCTAAAGGATGTGTAAAACTTATGTTGTAAGTAGGCAATTTTTGGCAGACGAGGGTTCACGTCGCGGACGTATGGCGAAGACACGAGAAACCGTGCAGACTATTTTGATGAAAGTTACGCGTAACGGGAATGTTCGTCGAATGTTTTAATGGGACCGCGATTAAATTGATTAAGCTTTCGGACACGTGACAAATTAAATGGAGTACCCGGACGTACCTCGGCCAATACATAGGATATAAGCGTAAGTCTATTTGCTAGAATTATAAATACAATTTATAGTCGAGGTGACAAAAAAAAAATGAAGGAGTTCTACCGTGCACGGTTTTTCCTCCTCCACCTCCCCAACGCGACCGACCGCCCCCACTAGATCGCATAGATATTTGTCGTTATCCTTTAGGCTATTGCGATTATTACGTGCTCCTCGACGAGAGGCAGCGCGATAACCTGAGCTCGACTATGAATCTTGTAAATTGTCGATTGTCAAATCGTAATCAGTTAGAGAGACCAAGGAGGCCGCGCGTTGGAAGTTCGTTGGTTGCACGAAAAAAGAAAATTAAGAAAAAAAGAAGAAAAAATGATTGTGAAAGGAGGTAATGATAACGATAGGAATTAAGGTGGGATCGAATAAGGTGTATAAGTTAATATACGAATGTGAAACACGAGATACGAGTGACAATTATGGTTTTTTGACGCTAGAGAAGATGCGTATCCTGTCGCCAGTAGATTAGGACAAATATACATTGATATTCCGAATCAATCAGAAACTATTTATTTAAGAAGATGACCGTAAACGAGAACAAAGCTGAAATGAAATTGTTTTACTTTTATATACTTAATGAGCGAGCGAGAGAGAGAGAGAGAGAGAGAGAGATTTTCATTTCAAAACTTTGTGAAACGTTATGTCGTTTCCAGTGTGTTGCGAGTGTTTTTGCCGACTGCGACGTAATCTCTAAGCCTCTGACATCGGGCGTTGGCGTCGCTGCGATTTTCATTTCAAAACTTTGTGAAACGAACAAAGCTGAAATGAAATTGTTTTACTTTTATATACTTAATGAGCGAGCGAGAGAGAGAGAGAGAGAGAGAGAGATTTTCATTTCAAAACTTTGTGAAACGTTATGTCGTTTCCAGTGTGTTGCGAGTGTTTTTGCCGACTGCGACGTAATCTCTAAGCCTCTGACATCGGGCGTTGGCGTCGCTGCTGTTGTCATGTGATTTTTCCCTTGTTCCGACAAACTCCTTTTATCACGCATTTTCGATCTTTTGCTTTGTAGTTCGAGACTTAGCGAGATTTGGGTATTGGCCGGTGACGTTTGACTTGAATTGTTTTGGGGGGAGGATACTGGGAAATTCGTAACTGACGGCAGCGAACGTGCGCGCACGGCATAAAAGAAAAAGAGTAAAATTAAAGAAACGCATGGTAATACTATTGAACCCTCTGGAAAAAGAGAACGGAAATATTGAGATACAGTGAAGAGACGAGATAAGCAAGAACGAAGAAGAGAACAGAGTTAATCTAAATAGATTGTCCGCGGTTGTTATTTTTATATGGCTCCTGCGGAGAGCCTCCATTGATATCCTGAAATTCCTCTGATCCCTCAGACGCATTTCCCTTTAGCCTTATAGCAACATCCGTACTCTCTTGTACCCTTGAACCGATCGACCACCCCCCATTCCTCTACTCCCCTGTACCCCAATTTTCAAATTATATACCTAGAGATTTAGTTGGATAATTATATTAAATCGAAACCTTAAGTTTACAAGGAAAGGTAATAATGGAGAAAATAGGTTACGAAAGAAAAAAGGAAGTAAAGTTCGTGGCAAAGAAAATACAATTATATAAGAAACATATGGAGGAAAAAAAACGTAAGTTTTAAGTTTCATCACATACACGCATGGAAAACATGGGTGCGCGCGATTTTCTGACAATGAATGTTTTGTTTTTGTACAGTGGATATTGTGATTCCCGATGCTGAATAATACTGAGATAATGAAATAATTAATCGTTTCAATTTCATATATTCATGTACATACTTTATCCTTCTCTTCTCCTTTTCTTCTGAAATTTGCTTCATCTAATTATTATTATTATCATCATCGTCATCAGTATCATCATTGGCCATGTCAGTCTCCCTTACCCTCCCACTGGTTTATTTTTAAGAAATAATTGTCAAGAGCATATCGAAGCTATTTTTAAAAATTATTATTCGTTTATTCATTTTTTAACTTTATTTTCATATTTATTCCTAACTTTATTCGCACCTCTCTCCGTTTCGAGGAGTCATCGCACTTTTATCTTACGTCAGTCGTAAAACGCATGTTCACAACGAGTGCATTTGTCAATTTAGATGAATCGGAGGGATCGTTAAAAAAAAAACAAGAAGAAAAAATAGACTTAGATCTTTGGGAATCACTAGCTTTCGTTACTATAATACCGAGTCCCAGTGACTTTCTTTCTGTATCTTCCGTCGTGCTGGGCTTCTCGAAGGTATTGCAGTCTCGCGGTTCTTCAGAGAGACGTCTATCCGAATCTAATAGATCCTACCGGTGATAGATGGCAACACGTGTCACCTGACACTCGTCTCTCCAACCGTGCACTGGAGAATTCGATTGGGATAAAAATTGGTGCGCACAATGGCGACGTTTTATAGTTTTCGTTAAGCACAACTCATCAAGCCGGTTCTCGTATTGTCGCACTCTTCACGAATCGGTCGACCGTGTTGGATCTTTACTGTCTCTACGACCGTAAAGTTGTTCTTGTAATGACGGCGCAGACTACGAAATTCTGGCACGTAAACTTCGTAAGGTGATTCGCCACTCTCGATTACCCAGATGCTACCGGGTGCGCCGACTCTAAGGATCAACATAAGTCCTTGCGCCACCACGAATGGTCTGACAATGAGAATAATTGATTAGTCGTTAAGGAATAATCAGTGAAATTTGCTTCATTAAAAGTGGCTGATAAGAAACTTACGTTTGTATCGTGACGTGCTCCAGGTTCTTTACAAAGTCTGCTTTCATCACTCGGGATAACAATTTGTTGGGACTTTCTACTGTCAGGGCAGTCTCGGTCAATCCTGGACAGAGTGTCAGGACGCGCACTCCAGATTTCTCGAAGCGTTGGGGTGACTGTAAGTTATATAAACAAATAGTCAAGATGATAACAATTGTTTTGAATTTTTTTTTAAAGGACAACTCACCGAGAGCGATGCGGAAAGTCCGATTATTGCGTGTTTGGTTGCCGTGTAAACCGGAAGTTGTGCACTTATGGTATAATCAACGTGCTGAGAGACGTTTATTAAGATTCCACCACGGCCGCCCTTGTCCAGTCCCATGTGGTCCATAGCCAGCATCGCTGTTGACAGCATACCGGTCTGCAAAATATATCTTGTCATTTATAAAACTCTTTTCCCACTGTTTGATAATTTTTGTCATCTTTTTTTCTTCGCAGACTCACGATGTTCACGGATATTTCCTTTTCCCATCTTCGCTCGTCTAGGATCCCAGCATTGTTGATCACTATGTCGATTCCGCCCATCTTCTGGGAAGCTTCTTCGAAAGCATCTACAAGTTAACAGGAGCGTTGATACATACTGGATCAAGGGATCGATTGATTATCCGATATTTCGACAGATTATAGACGGTTGGCTAATTACCAATCATTTTGTCCTGTTGCGAAACGTCGACGTTGATGAAGATGGCTTTATCCTTCCCGTAGACTTTCTCGATACCGTTTAACGTGCGAATCCTGGCGTCATCGTTGATATCGAGTATAGCGATTCTCTGGGAGAATCAAGACACACGTCATTCACAATTTACAATAAACAAATATTCGTGATTACTCACCTTTGCGCCGTGCTGCAGAAATTGATTGACGAACGCAAAGCCGAGACCCGTGACTCCTCCAGTTACGAGGACATTTTTTCCAGATATTACAGAATTAATCGCTTGGAGCTCCTTTGCCTTCTCGCAGGCCGACGAACGACGTCTCTTCATGTTAGATTCAGCGACTGCACAGTGTTCAATAGTCATTTAATTCATTACTAATCGCAATGACAGTACTTTAATTACCGTATAGATGTCTATGCAATAATCTAAATTGTATAGTTATCTCCTAGTAACGCAATTCTCGAATTTTAATTATCGATGCTTCAACGTACCCATTTTTTAATGTAACGCGGCTGTCTCTGTGGCTTCTCAAAAGGATCTTGTAAGAACTGAACTTCTCGGCAGCTTTGCAAACGGTATTTATATGCGATTCTAGCGGGTGTCATAAAGTCATTGATGATTACGCTTTGCGAATGTATTGCGAGTCTCATGAGTTAGTGAGGCACGAGCGAGATGCACTAATACGACTTAGAAGTGTTCATATATGTATATACACGTGAAGTGAAACGACGTACACGAAATTTTAAAAGACGAAGCATCTCGAAGTCTCGGTCTTTAATGATTATATATTTTATCTGTCGGAGATAGTTGTTAAAAAAAAGAATGACCGGATGAAATCGCATCGTGCGTGTCATATAATTTCCGGGAATCGAAGATGTCACAGCAGAAGTCAAGTTGTCAGAAGATACTTTACTTTGTTCTTGGTGTCATTTATGTACATGCAAGAAGCTTGTGTACAACTTTATTGATTTTTCATTGATGGATTTGTCATGGCGACTGTGGCGAGTGTCAAACGCGTGGCATCAGACAATCCACGTCACGAGGTTATATGTATTTTCTCGAACCTGATGAACCCGACGCTTCATTCTCTCTTTTATTTATTTTCTAAGCGATAATATACGCGATCATACCCAGCGCGTGTCTCAGGCAGGACTTGTAAGGTAATATTTAAAATGGCTGTGATAAGTGTTGTAAACATTGGCATTTTTAAAAATCATTTTTCTTTTATCTCGTATGCTGATTTCCAATACGATGCTTACGTGTATCTTGCGTTGGTGGACGAGGAATTATGGTAAAAGATAAAATAGATGACGAGTAACGCTTTACTATTATCGTGATTAATTACGTTTTCATTGCGTATCTTAAATTTATGGGTATTTTTTTCTTATGGCAATTACTTTTTAACGCGTGAAAATATTTTCTCTTGTGTAAAATTGACGTTCGTTTAAGAAATACTTAGAGATTAGACGATTACGTAAATATCCAACGGATTGATTATCGCGTGAACTTTTCTAATTCTTTTTGGAATGTTTACATGAGTTCTAGGGCGAACGGACGTTACGACTGATACTTCGAATGTTTTATATAAAAATTTAGACTAGTTTACAATTGTATCTTTATTTGTCGAAAGGACGCTCAGGGATACCAACAGACATCGGTACTGAATCAACAATTCTTGTCTGCGGTTCAAAGCGATCTCGATTGAACTTTATACCCTTGATAATTGAACTGAAAATAACTTCTACTTGAGACAGAGACGCTAGGCGCTTGTCTTTCTTGTAATTTTTTTTTAATGAAATCTATTGTTCAATCACATATACGCGCTAATTAGAGGAGACCTTCGGTAGCTTCGAGAATTCAAATTGTATGCTCGTTAAGAATTTTTAATAGAGGGAAAGTACAATTGGAATGAAATTAAAGCCTTCTACGACGTATAGCGAGCTTTGATTTAATGTCATTTAATGATATTTGCGTAATAACCAAGATTTATCAAAAACCACTCAAGGACTGATACTTTTTTGTGGACCCCCTAAACTTGAAATGCCCCACCGAATATTATATTCCTCGAGTCAGGAGGTTATCGTAACCGACCTAATTAGCGGACAGCGAAAAATCGGCTGATTTATAAAACTCGCGATTAGTTCGGTCTTGGGAACGTCATCGATCGACCGTAAATTTTTTTTACGTTTTTTTTTTCCTCTATCCGATCAGTTGATTATCTTTTAAAGGTTGTGGATTCGTAAGGAATGATCTCAACATGTTTTCTCTTTAACGAAGTATACATTTATTTCTTATAGATTAGATAACAATATATTTATATACCCTTACGTGTATTATTTTGAAAGCGTCCAGTAACGACGATATAGGAGACTTTAAAAAAATGAGCCTTAAATTTCGCTACTATTTGTGACATAAATTAGAATGGATATTCGAGTGAAGAATTTGATTTATTTATCTATCACAATATTTGAGCATTTTTGTCGGTCATTCAGCATGGGTCAAATCAAAATAAAAATTCTGACTACAGGGCTTATCAACGCTTGCGTCAGATGATAAAGGTGCCCCCTAATCTGTGTCTCTCTTGAATCTTCTACGCGACAGGACCAAATGAAATTTGACGTTATTAATGATAATGCCGGGCTTAATTATATATAAAAAAAAAAAGAAGAATCGACAATAGTACACTAGATATCTTCCACTTGCACACATTTCCTTGGCAGTGTATTTGGCAATTGTATCTCGTACACCGGTTTGCTGTTTTCGCTCACCCAGACGCTGCCATTTTGAGCGCATCTAATCATATAAACGAGGCCATGAGCAACGCTTTCCACCCTGTAAATATTTTCTTGTCAATGCAATCTCTCATGATTACTATACCATATTTTTATAATGTTAATAATTACAACTGAATTTTTTACCTCTGCGGTGAAAAATTTTCTATAGCTTTCACAAAACCTTCGGAATCCTCAATGTTCTCTGCATTCAAATTCTCTATGGACGATCCTGCAGTGAGACCCGGACACAGCACCACCACCCTTACTCCGCTTCTTTGGTAATGATAAGTATGCTGGAAGACACGGATGGAAATTAATATAAGGAATTTCTAAATGAGCGAGATGCTTGGGAATCTTAAAAAATTTTTAAATGTTTACCGCGAAGGATCGACTGAAACTCAGGACTGCGTGTTTGGCAGTTGCGTAAGCCGGAAGTAAAGGGAAACCGTCGAGCCCGAGAATCGACGCTACGTTCACGATGACTCCACCCTTACCGCCTAAGTCCTTACCCATTTGTTGGATACCTAAGAGGGTAGCTCGAAAAACTGCTGTCTTCGTTATATAAGGAATAAAAAAAATTTTAACTCCTTACTCACATGTCAATAAATTATTATAAAATAATATGCTTACCACGTTGACGTCTATAGCTTTGTTGAATGTCACTTCGTTTATTGTTTCTGCATTGTTTATTAAAATGTCTAAACCTCCAAGAGCAGTTGTGGCTTCCTTGAAGATTTCTAAAGAGTAAATAGATAATTAATGACTGCGACTCACATTTCGTTAAGTTATCGCTGGTTAATTGGTCAGTACTAACTGTCGAATTGGGACGAATTCGTCACGTCACAGCTTAAATACAATACACGATTTTTTCCAAATTCGGAATTCAGCGTTTCCGCGGCCACGCGTCCTATACTTTCTTGATCATCTATTAGAATAACCATCTGAAATTCGAATGATATTCTTATGAACTAGATTCCGCTTTAAGGTTATGTTTATCGTTCCTACTTACCGCTGCGCCATTGCGCAGTAATTCTCTGGCGAAGGCTAAGCCTAGGGTATTAACGCCACCAGTGATAATAGCCTTTTTGTCTTTAATTTGCATATTTTGGTCCTTGGTCTACCGTACGAGTATTTTCTGGATTGTCTTATCAATAGCCTCAACAATGAGAAAGCACTGGAGTAAACTTTGCACTTTGACAGAATCACTTATTACTCTCTTTGATATCGTTTCTTATTTTTTTCCTCTTGAATCCTCTGTACAATCTTCGTACTGTATTCGTAGCCTTACTACCGAACAACTAGGGAATGATTGTTGTATTTAATATTAAAATTATGTATCACAACGCTGACAGTTTACTCACTGCGTTTAGTTCGACTTATGCTTCATTCGTAACCTATAAAGCTTGATGCGTCCCCACGAACTGATATAAAAGACTTGTGTACGCTTTTGCCGTTTAACCTTTAAACTTTGACTGATATCGTAATACGAAATATTTTCGTCGTTTGTCGCGAATCCACAGATTCATTTTCTTGACGTTTCCCAATGTCAGTTACTGTTGCCGTCCAATCGGTGACCTTATTGCTCCTTATGCTCTTATGATAATCAGTGAGTTACCGGCGTCATTAACGAGTTTGTTTTTTTAGAAGCTAATTGGGACAGTTACCCACAGAAGATTTTGATACTTTGAAAGGTGGGTGTGTTCGTGATTTCTAGGTGTTCTGGTCATTCTACTTTATTTATAAGATAAACATATATCTGTAAAAACATTTTTAATTATTAATAAACGTAAAAGGTCCTCAGGCTGTTCGGTCGAATAGGTTAACGAAGCTTTCTGTAAGACGATTTAATCATCACGAGAAACCTTGAGGGTGTGTCGTTCTGGAATACGAACTTCGTAAACGGGTTCTCCACCTTCGGATACCCAGATGGTTCCGTTTTTGGCATTTTTTAGGATGTGTACCATGCCTTGTGACACGTTGTCTACCCTGAATGATGACGCAAAGTCAATATCACATATTGGCAATATAATGAACTTAGCAGATCGGCTAATTTTATTTTGGGGACTCACTTTTGCACCGGTAAGGTCTTGAGTTCCTTTAGTGCATCTTCACTGGGAACCCAGCTCAAGAGTTTTTTAGCGGCTTCCGAAATCAGGGGAGTAGTGGTGACACCTGGGCACATGGTCAGAATTCTCACACCGGTTTTTTCGTAGTAATAAGAATCCTGTGAAATGATATTTTATATGTGTCAAATTATCTTGGCTGTTATTATATTATATTTTTTAGCCAGACAAATACTCACTCCGAAACTTCTGCTGAGACCAATCACGGCGCATTTCGATGCCGAGTAACAGGGAGCGGTGACAATCGGGTCGAGACCAACGATGGAAGCAATGTTCACAATGGTGCCGCCGTTGTGACCTTTCTCCTTGCTCAAATAATCGTATCCCAAAAGAATACCACGAATCACGCCATTCTGTTATGGAAAAATATTGTATTTACAATCATTGTAAAACATTAATTTTTTTTCTGGTAAATAACTATTGGTCATATTGTAACGGGTATTTATTTTTTAATTAATCTCAAAAATGGAAATAATGTTTACTTAGTATTCACGTGTGTTAATCGGCTCCCATTAGAATGCTTGCTCTTCTACAGAACTCTAATCGAATGACGATTAAAACAAAGCGCCTATATTTTATCAGCATCTAATACGAATTAAAACGTTGTCGAATATTAAGTTTTACCATCGTCATCCATTTCTATAGAAACACGATGGTGACAAAAAAAGATATAAACGGATGATGCAGTCGAAATAGAGTCGATCCGAAATAAAGGCACTATACCCTAATTGAAAATACGAAAGCGGTAAAATGAAATATTTAATTTGTTGAATGTTGTTAAAAATTATTATCGTTCGACGTATCTAGAAGTTATTTGCGCAATTAGTATGCATGCTTTCGCAACATCAGACCTAATCAGCTGATAATATTTTCAAAACAAAATAAGGTCACATGTATATATATTGCAATGTTTAAGACTGGCATTTCAACTAATTTATCAGTTGAATGAATGTGATGCTTTTAAGATCACATTCCGAAATTTACTGCCACCACTGCGGGCCTGGCCGTGTCACGGTTCATTGCATGTTGGTAAAGAAGGACACAACGAAACTCGTAGTACTTCCAAACGAATTTCGAAACGTATATTACATGTATGAAATTTTCTTTATCGACTGCTTTTTCTAGTCATCATAATTCATAACCTTTGAGAAATTTCATTGACTTTAACTTATAATATTTCTTTAACATAATAGTTGACAATCGTTTATTAATGTTTCAGTCCTTTAATCCCCAATATATTTGTTACCTATAGCAATTCAAAAATAAGTTTTATGCACTATGTTGATGTATTACGTACTATGTTGATGTCATTCATTTTTTCCCAATTACTGTCATCTGAAATTCCAGCATTGTTGATAACGATATCCAATCCCTTGAAAGTCTCATAGGTCTTCTTGAACCCATCTAAATAGAGAGTGAGAAATATAACCGTATAGTGGAGTTTCCTAATGATATTTTTTCGTCGAAATTGAAAATTTAATTTACTACCTTCAAACTCTTTAGATTTCATGACGTCAACGGGAAGGAAGATGACTTTATTCTCGCCAAATTCAGAATTCAAATTCGCCGCTGATTTTTCACCGCCTGAATTTGGCAGATCAAGAATTGCTATATGCTGAAAATTCATCGATCATTAACTCGAGTATATTCACGATAAACAATATGAAATCCATACGAGCATCCAATACTCACGGCAGCTCCATTCCGAAGAAGGTCTTGGGCGGTGGAATAGCCAATACTGTTTGCTGCACCAGTAATCAATACGATCTTATCCTTGATCCCCATCTTCACTCTCTATCGGTAACAAAATAAATATCATGCTATGATAAACGCTATTTTCCTAAATATATTCAAGTGTAGGCGCTATCGGTATTTCGTTGTATATATCAAAGTAATCTTAGCTAAGTACTTATAACCTTATTATTAACAAGACTGCACTATACGAACAGGTGGTTCGACTCACGGAGCAGAATATTCAGCGACTGTGGATTTTGAAAGACACGGAGAGAATAATATGGAGAAAACTAATTAAGTCGTTATTGAATTGAAGTTTATCTCGGCTGATACTCTGCGTGTGACGTTATACGATTGATGAAAAATAAAAATAATATCCATCCCAAGCAGCAATAAGTATTTATGAAATGTATTAAAAATAGTTGCAGAGTTCAAATAAGGTTGTATTCAATATAGAACATCACTAAGATATTGTACGGATATACATATAATTTACAACATCGAATGCATAATATTACGTGACGTCTGATTAATGTTGCTTACTCGATATTTAAATGGTGATATAATTACAATATTTAATCGAAATGGTTTTTATTTTTTATCTTTCTACTTCTACCCAGTTGGGTTGGCAGATTTTACGCGGAATATTATTTATATAGAATTTACATTCTTATAGTGAATTCTGGTAAAGGTTTAATTCTGATCAGATAGTTTTAGGATACTATTAGTACGTTCAAGGTAAGTACTTTGGAATTCCTGGCACGGACCCGCCAAGTAGTACTCGATAAGGAATCACCTGAAGTTTTAATAATTATTAAATGACCATTAAATCATAATCAACTACGAGAAACAGTAGTAATGTAAAAGAGTAGTGAAAACGTTATAGGAAATTTTGAACATACAATTAAAATGATGGGCCAGTAGTACAATAGATCATATAATAGGCAAACATGTAGTGACTTATGTACTTGGCCTCAATAATATGATATCAATACTTTTTGTTA